ATTAGCTCCCAATTTATTTTTCAATTAACTTTAAATTAAAAATAAACTGAGCTTTTGTTATAGGTAATTTTTTCTGAAATTATCACGTAATTTTAAAAAAGATTAGAGCATTTATTCCCCCGCCCCATAAAATAATAAATATTAATAAACATTATAAAGTTAATTAATTAATAAAATAGTTAAACGCAAATCTACAAAATTAGAATTCTTGTGTTTAGTATTAATTAACTTATTTAACAAATGGCTTGTAAAATTCATTTGTTATTTACGTTTATATATATATATATATAGATAGACAGTGTCATTTAGGCACCCATATGGTATAAACATTGTCAATGTGACTCCCAATTTTACAATGTGGCACCCGGTTTCGGGTGCCACTTTGTTTTGCCTTCAAAAATTTTTCCAATGAAGGTAGGGTCCTTCTAAACCATATAACAAAAAATTTGAAGGGTGCCACTTTGACAAAGATTACTCCCGGATATACAGTTTAGTTTGCGAAGTTTATTATAGATGGCGCTCTTTTTTATACAGATGTATATATTTTATACACTCATTATAATTGTTAAACTTTTGGCACCCATAATATGCCTTTACATTATGGCACCCTAAATTTGGCAACAGTGGAAGAAACTTTAAAACCTCGTGTGTAACAGACGACACTAATTATAACGGAAACCTCGGAAGCATTCGGCCGTGTCCGGAGGGCAGCGAGAAGCGGCTGGCGGGAATTTTGATTTTAAATATTGTTTTGGTTCATTCTTTATTCTAAGATCGTATAATTATATAGTCTTCAAAATAAGTGATGATGTATTAGGTTTATTAAGTATAATAAACATAACAAATCATTACTTTTTTGGAGAATTTGTTAGATATAATAATAATTTACACAAGAAATATTAAGAATATGATTCTGATAAGGCTGATTTGCATTCTCGTTTTAAATTTATATCAAAATCACTTGCTTTCGGATGTTTAAACGTTTTTTGTTATTTGTATTTCTAGGGACTTCAATCTATTTCATCTTTGATGGTGGAAAATAGAAATTGTTTTATTCTTTGCAGGAAAGTGGTATGCATTCGAATTTGGTGTACGGTTAACGCAATCGAAATTTTGTTTTCACATAGATGTTATTTTTTCCATGGTTTTAGGAAAAACTTTTTTCTCATATCACAAAAAAAATTAGCATTTTTAAATCGTAAAAATTTATCGTAAGTCCATTTATTAATATTTCTATAAATATATACACAGTGTCCCACTTAAAACCTACCATCCTCTTGTTTTGATGACAAAACTCATCGCCAACTGTGATGTCTGTTTTGGGTCGAAATTTCGGTTTTTAGTGGTCCCGAATAAAAATTCGTTGTAACTTTTGCTCTAAAAAAATCCCTAGTAGGTATACCTAATCCCTAGTAGGTATACCTATACTATAGTACTAAAAAAGAGATCACAGTTTAGTCTTTAAAACCAGTGACATATGCGTTTAAATCCTTTTGCAGAGATCTATCCAACAAAAAAGTTTACAAAAATCGGTTAAAAAATACAAATTTTACGAAGGTGGTAAGGTCTTAAGTGGGACACACTGTATATATATTTTAAAATAAAGCGAAGAAGTTAAAAAATTTAGCAGAAGGCTTTTACATTGTGTTAAAATTTACAAATTACCATTATATAATAAAATTACAAATGATAAAAATTATTTTAGGACAGTATTTCTCAGCAAGTTTCCATAGCTGAACCTATTATGATATTTTCTCCATGGCTTCATCGTCGATTTTCTCAATGGAAAAAGTCTATATTTTTCTTTAAATTGGGCAGAGGGGTTTTTTTAGTTATGTTATTGCAAAACTCGCCTATGGCTTGTCTTCACATTCGTAAAAAAACTCCTTCTGCACTTGTTTAGGAATATAAAATTAAGGCAGCAGATTTAAAATAAAATTACATACATATTCACTACTATTTTCGCTAGATGGTATGTATTCATCTTTGCTTCCATCTGTTTTGTAAGGATCAGATTCTTCCGATGAGGAAAAATCGTAAACATTTTTTAAACCTGCATCTAAAAAACATTAAAAAATATTTTGTTCTTTTTCTTTATCAAAGTAAGTTACTTTTTGTTTTAAAAATTAAACTTATGAGCACCAAACATTCGGCCACCGCTCGGCCCCAAAATTACCAAAACTTTTGGTATGATTCGTAACAGTTTAAATTACCTAAATGCAAAACATAACTGGCCTACTGACGTTAGTATAAAAAAATACTGTTGATGCTTTTTTCATTTTTTAGTTAGAAAGGGAATTAAAATATTATACAGGGTGTATCAGGGTCGATGGTAGGTTACATGTTTATGGAAAACGGAAAAAGATATCAAATTAAATTTTTTAAAGCAATTATAATAATATTATCATTAAAACTATTTTTCTAAATTATTTGGAACAAAATTCCACTTCCGGTTTTAATGGAAGCGATATCAACTTTGTTATTTTAAATGAATCATCACAATTTTTTTACATTTTTTATTTCTTAATATTATTCCTTATAAAATGACTAGGTATATCATGTTCTATACCAAAACTTAATAGTTATTGAGTTATTAATTTTTTTCGTAAAATTCGGTCAGTTTCACCCTCAACAAAAAAATCTTATATTTTTTTTAATATTAGGTTTGTCGGTTGTATTTATTGTAATATTTTTTAAAAGATACTTGATAAAAAGCAATGTAAATGTAGATAACTTAAAATAGCAATAAGTTTTTAATTTTTAACGGAACGCCCTGTATATTTTTACATAATTAAATATGAAATTATAATACCTTTTCATTGATATAACCATTCCCTAAAGTTAATAATAACAAAGATATTTTACAATTCCTATTATTTATTATTTCAAATTTTTAAATATTAATTTTAAATTATTAAACAATACAAGTGAAATCTACGAATAAGTTTTAATAACTGTATGTTTTCATATGACAAGAAAATAATAAATTAATATATTTTTTTTTCGGTCTAAAGTAAATATGTCGATAAGTATGTGTATAAACGGTTTAATTGAACGCCCGGTACCTTCATTAAAAGGTATATTATTATTTACTAATATAGTTAGAAATTCATTAATTTAATAAAAATTGTTAATAAAATAGTTAAAATGAAGAAAAATCACTATTCAAATAAAGTTTTGATGAACTGGTTTATTCTTTATGGACAATATGACAAACTTATTGCTAGAACATGCAGACACTTTTTGTATGTTGTACCTTTACCCAACTTACCCAACTTATTTTGAGTAGTTATTTTTATCTTTATTTTAATAATAATAATGAGATAATTTTGTTGGGCCCCAAATAAAATAATTAAAATATTAATTTTTCTATGATCATTGGTACAAAAAAGGAAATATTGTACAACATAACTTGCTGCTTACAAGGATTTATTTTGGAACATTAAAAAACTATAAGTACATGTACAAAAAATAATTAAAAAATATTCTTGAAATTAATTTAATAAAAAATTAAAATAATGAATGTAAGTATATTTTTGATTTAATTTTTTTTACATGTAAAAAAGTAATAAAAATTCTCAAGCACTTATAAATGACAGGCACTGTGGTGCATGAATCTAAATTTTACTACCTTTGGTAAACATATTTTGGTAGGTACTTATTAAATAAAAAAAGTCAAATTTTTCGCTCTCACATTAATGTGAATTTATAATTAATAAACAAAAATTTTGTTCGAACCGCCGCTCCCGCAGTACCGCGTTGTAGTGAGAGATTTTTAAATTCTTAAAAGACAAATACAAAAATATTAATGGTAATTATTCCTGACATCTTCTAACCTTAATTTCTTCCATTTGCGCGCCTAAAATCGAATTTTCAATGGAGTTGCATTATAAAACTTATTTTACGCACTCCATTTTATCTCAATAAAGCTAATATTATTATAATTTTCGAATTATGATGCAGAATAATATAAAATAGAGTATTTCACCATATTTGTTTTAGGTAATCAACATTTTTCAGATATGAATATTACTAAATAAAATTATATTAAATTGTATATCTTCAATATGGCACCCGTAAGTATGGCAACAGTGGAGGGTGCCTGTTTGAATATAATTATAACCAGTTTATACGTGAAGGGTGCCACTTGATCATGATTTTTGGTGGTGCCACAATGTCAAGTTTTAAAATTGGTTTTTTATACGAGGGGGTCACATTTACGTTGATTAAGTGGGTGCCACTTCATACAAGATGCATGTATATATATATATATATATATATATATATATATATATATAACAAATGAAGACAATTAAAAAAAACCCGCCATGGAACATATATGTTTCATTTAATTATTTGTTCACTTTTACAGTCTTTATTTATATTTAAAAACAAATATAATATCTATTTGTTTTAATTATTACATTAAAAAAATTAAATTTGTTAAATAACATTGTTTTCTATTGTAAACGACAGTTTATTATTTATTAATATTGATTGGAGCGGATGCCGAGTCTACGGTGCGCGGTAGCGCGCTTTACCGAAATGGCTCGCGCTCGGGGATAAATAAATTCATATTGTTTAAACTAATAGCAGGCAGTGGAATTTTATTGCAGAATATTTAACTAAAGTGTACAATGCATATAACTGAAATAAAACAAATTTATAATTTGAGGGAGAAGTCATTACAATTTTAATTTTTGTATTTAAAAGTGAAAATATGATAATAAATAAATAATTTAAAATTTTGAATTGTTTTTCAAAATGTGAATATTAAACAATAAATCCTAAAAATTTCATTATAATATAATAAATAACGGTTTTTCTGTTATCTATTTTTTAATTAGGTCTCCAAAAATTTCATTGTAAAAAAAATTGCTGTTAAAATGAAAATTTTAAAAAACTGTTTTAGGGTTTCAATATTGATGGTGACTACTTTATATTAAATATCTTACTCATTATTATTATTATATTTCTGATATAGGTATGTAAATACCCACCTAAAATATCTAAGGAGCTTTGATGATTAGCAACAATTACACAGGATTGATCTTTTTTCAAATGTTGTTGGCCTTTTACTATCCATCTTATTCCAATTAAAGTGGATATTACACGACAAAAAGTCGATGCACGCCTAAAAATATATTTTATAATCATGTTAAACAATTATCATAAAACTTGCAATAAATTTTTCACATCTTTCGGCTTAAAACAAAACACCGGTATTAATATGACAGAATTAACCATAACAATGGCATAATACAGAAAGAATTTTAAGTTGTATCTAAACACATGACTAGACTCGTAGAAAAAAGGTAAAATTAATATACACAGAGCGAAAAATATCTCTGTATACGAAGCTGTCATATTATATTTTCAACACCAAAACCGAACAATCATAACTGAGAAAATCGATTTTGCCAGCATATAAACACACAGAACAAGTTTGCGCCGTTCATGAAATGAAACGAAAGCGGCAAAGGAAAAAAGTAAACAACTGAAAGCTGCGTTCCAAAATTAAATTAGTTTACCTTTAAATAATTATTTATAACTTTGGCATATATTAATTTGTTTTTTATTTATGGTTTTAGTACCTAATAGTATAATTTCTAATATTTGCAATTTGTAATAATGTTGATTAAGAAGGGGTTAAAAACACACGTATTCTGAGTTGCCTACTGCGAATAAATGTTTTATATAAAATCCGATAAAATCTAAAACAAAACTCAAAATATATATTTGGAGTCTTGTGTTAGATTTTATAAAATAGGCTCTAGTTTTATACGTTTTATTAAATAATTTTAATAGATATATCTGAAAAAGGTGGATTTGAAGTATTTCTTAACAAACCCCTAATTGTTTAGAAATCATGGCGGCACAATCGGCTATGTAATGAATGAATTTTTATATAAATAGGTAAATCTCGTTTAATAAGAACCTTGCACCTATTTTAAACAAAATTGCACTCTATACTTTTCTTGTGAAGTTATAACTGTTTGTTTTTTATTTTACCATAAGCGGTATTTGATAAATTTATGTTTAAAGTAGCATATGTCAAAATATGTTAGTGCCAATCAGCTGTCAATGGAGAAGAAGTTATGATTATTTTGGAAAAATCTTATTGTTTTTAGGTGAATGATGTCTCTTAATGAGATGACATTGAGGCCTCAGCCTCGTTTAGATTTAAAATGGCTTAGAATAGACCTGCAGTCTTTATTTAATTGCCAAGATAGTTTAATAAATTGTTGGAATGGCCTTATAACCGATGGAGAGCTTACTGGAAACTTTTCAGTGGGTTTGATTAATAGTGCAGGTGTTACAGCCAAACAGGGAGAATTTGGCAAATATTACTGTGGACAAAGGGTACCCATTCATTTATGTTATTTAGTTTAATGTTACATTGCATTATTATTTAGGTATTAACTTGTACCTGTTGTGATGGAATTTGTGGGCCCGATAGTGGCTGTAATTGTCAACCTTGCCAAAAACTTGATGCAGAGGAAGCCTCTAAAAGAGTTCAAGAAAATATTCCATTGCCCTCAATGGAAAACCTACTAAATAGATGGGCATGGGGTCCTCAACCAAGTACCTATATATACTATATATGTGTAATTTTTAAGGTTTTTTGTGTTTAAAGAGTTTTGTCATCAATCTTGCTTTTTGAAAAGTGCTTTGTTTTAAACTGCTATAATAATGGTAAAAAACTGCAGTCTGTATTAAATGTTTTGAAATTGATATAGGTATTAATAAAAACCTTAAATAATTTTAAAAATTTAATAAAAGATAATGTCCTCACTAACCCAAATAAATATTAATATTTATTTATATTAATATAAGTAAATAAACAAATTGTTTTAAATTTTAATAACCCAAAACGTTATTAAAATTTTTTAAACATACATATAAAAATACCTTGCTGTACCACACAACACACAAAAAATGTTAAAAAAATATACAGAACCCAATAAATAAATTTCAAAATGTTCATTATATATTTTTAGGTGTGGAGAACCTTCATAATTGTTTGTTAAGTTTGAGTAACGAACAAAAAAACTTATGTTCAGATGCAGCAAATTTGACATTGTCATCGAAACGACTCTCCTATCGACTTTTAATTTTCAAGAGATATTTTATAGCTTTAAATCGAAATCCACATTCTGTTGATTATGATCATGGACTATTAATTCATAGAAGCAATTTAGAAAATATTGAAGAAAAATGGAAGGTTCTTAATTCAGAATCAGTTCAACCTCCTCTGGATCCAGCCATGAGCTTGGCAAGGGTTGGATCCAGAGCAGCCTTGAACTTTTCTTTTGCTTTTTTAAGAAGGGCTTGGAGATTAGGTAAGTTTTAAAATTATCTTTGTCGAATGTAGATGACAAAAGAAACATATTTTACCCAAAAATAATTGTTTAAATCCAAAGTTTAGACAGTTTCAAAAAAATAATGTTTTTTGCATAAAATCATTGTTTTAAATAAAAGTTTTCAAAATTATTTTTGGGCTAAACATAACAAAAATAACTTTACTAATAACAGTTTTCCCTGTGCAATTTAATTTGAAAAGTTTGCTGAAACAATTTATTAATTTTTTACTTTTTACCTGTTAAAAATTAGTAAAACTCGAGGTAAAACTACATTTCAGTACCTTAGAATGACAAAGTTCTAGGTGCACTTGCCATGTTAGGCAAAAATGCCTTATCTGTAATATTTAATATTAATATTGTAGATAAGCCACTTTCGCTTAACAGTGCAGCTGCACTTAGAACCTTGTCATTCTAAGGTACCGATTTAGAGAGTTCAAAACAAGTATTAATTAGGTTTTTTTGAGCGGTTACTTTGTATTGTATTGGTGCGGCATGACGAGTTTTGAAAATAGCATTTTGCATTTTACATAGCTCCCTGGTTTTTAAAGATATTTATTTTAAACAAAAACCACGTTAAAGAGCATAAAATTTACTCTATTTTATGTTCAGTATATTTAATTTTAAATAAGTAAACAAACACTAAGACATTATTAGTTTTTTAATTAGACATTTTTTAAAATACCTAAAATCTTTGATCGTCCAAAAACGGGTAGGTATTTTTAATCTAAAATATTTTAGGAGGGACACGCTTTAAAAATCAGTTTTTTTTCAATCAGCTAAACTATTACGATTCGTCCAAAATCGGTTATTATAATTTTGAAATATCTCAAAAATCCAAAATTTGTAAAAGAAATTATTTTTATTGTGTTGTAGTTAGTTTTTAAAATTTCATCAATAAGACTAGTTTTTTAGTACCGCTATAAAGTTTTACATTGCTTTGTTATTCTAATAAGACACCGTAAAACACATCGTTATTTTTATTTACATATTATTCTTTTACTGTTTACAATTTTAACAAAACAAAAGATTCACTATGTTATACACATGGGCGTAGTGTTGTAAAAAAAACGTTTTTTTCAGTTGAAAAAAAACACGTGAAAAAAAACATGTTTTTTTTCACTGAAAAAAAACAAAAGTTGTTTTTTTTCATCCCCATGGTAAAAGGGCGCCTCGCTGTCGGCAATGCTGACTTAGCATATCGTATAGTCTATACGGTATTATAATAGAAGAGTTAAGACCTGCGGCTTTATAGGTTGATGCATAGTTGGTAGAAATGCCGAAAAGAGAAGGCTCAGGGCGAAAGCCAACAACGTTAAACAATTTGTTTAAGAATATTACTAATGGTAAGTAAGAAACTATAATTAGTATTTTATATTCTTCTAGTGACAGAATGTGCCAAAAATTCTTTCCTCAGCAGTGACATTTCGAAAATCTTGTCACTTAATATAATTTGAGTATTTTTGACCATATTTTTGAAAAAAACATTTTTTTTGAAAAAAAACATTTTTTTTGAAAAAAAACAAGGTCCTCTGTTTTTTTTCAAAAAAAAACATTTTTTTTTGAAAAAAAACAAGACTGTTTTTTTTCAGTGACAACACTACATGGGCGTAATTTCAGCTTTTTTACTAGGTCCAAGCTGTACCGGGGGTCCGGTGGTCGTCCCCCTCCTTTAAAAACTGGTTGTTAGTTTTTTAAATTTTTTCAGGCTATTTTTACCACAAAATAATAATTATTGCTAACATTATGTATTTACCCAAAGGAATTATTTTTAATTTAAATTTTAAAATGTCTAACCAAAAAAAAACTAATAAAGTCTCAGTGATAAAATTTAGATTAAAAATATAAGATTTTAGACGAATTTGAATACCCATAGAAAATGCAAAAAATGGCTTATATTTTTGTTTATTTACAATTAAGTTTACCTACCTATAAATACTGTCCCAAAAATATTGTACATTTTGCGCTCTGTAACGTGGTTTTTGTTTAAACCAAATAAGATACAGAGTTTAACGCAAATTAGGCTGACGCACCAATAATGAATAGCTGTTTTTAACTCTCTAAATATAGTGAAAACAACAAAATTTATAAATTTTTTCATCAACCATCATTAAATGAAAACAACAAAATTTATAAATTTTTTCATCAACCATCATTAAATGATGGTTGATGAAAAAATTTATAAATTTTGTTGTTTTCACTATATTTAGAGAGTTAAAAACAGCTATTCATTATTGGTGCGTCAGCCTAATTTGATATGAATTGACCCAATTGAAAATAAACATTTATTTTTAAATCAAATGAAAAATTATTAATATTTTTAAAATCCATTACAAATATAGCATTTATTAAACAAATATAACATGTCAGGGACCCTGACATGTTATATAAAGTAAATCAATTTGTATTTATAATTATGTTATTTTTATTAAAAATATTGGTTTAAAGGAAACATTTTAAAAATACCCTGACTCAGGGCGATGAACTAACCAAAAAAAAACTAATAAAGTCTCAGTGATAAAATTTAGATTAAAAATATAAGATTTTAGACGAATTTGAATACCCATAGAAAATGCAAAAAATGGCTTATATTTTTGTTTATTTACAATTAAGTTTACCTACCTATAAATACTGTCCCAAAAATATTGTACATTTTGCGCTCTGTAACGTGGTTTTTGTTTAAACCAAATAAGATACAGAGTTTAACGCAAATTAGGCTGACGCACCAATAATGAATAGCTGTTTTTAACTCTCTAAATATAGTGAAAACAACAAAATTTATAAATTTTTTCATCAACCATCATTTAATTTAATTTAACTATATTTAGAGAGTTAAAAACAGCTATTCATTATTGGTGCGTCAGCCTAATTTGATATGAATTGACCCAATTGAAAATAAACATTTATTTTTAAATCAAATGAAAAATTATTAATATTTTTAAAATCCATTACAAATATAGCATTTATTAAACAAATATAACATGTCAGGGACCCTGACATGTTATATAAAGTAAATCAATTTGTATTTATAATTATGTTATTTTTATTAAAAATATTGGTTTAAAGGAAACATTTTAAAAATACCCTGACTCAGGGTATTTTTAAAATGTTTCCTTTAAACCAATATTTTTAATAAAAATAACATAATTATAAATACAAATTGATTTACTTTTTAAATTCACCAAATTGAAACTGTTTATGGAATAATTTACTATTATATAATATTATTTCACTATTACAGGAGAAGATATAGACTTATGTAGTGAGTTATTGACTGAATCTTTGGAAGCCTTGCAAATGCTGCCTGTTGCCACTTTGTTTGATCAAAAAAATGTTTTTCCAGTATGGATGGAAGTAGTAGATAGGTCAACAAAATTTTTAAAACAAATTATTACTGGGTAAGTTCATTGCCTGTTAAAATTTGGTTATAATTCTAAGTAATAAGTAATTTAAAAAATGAAAGTTTAATCCTAAATAACTTGTAATTTAAATATTACAATTGAATTTGGTATTATTTTATGGGATTTTTGACCCCCCCCCTTGTCACAAATGGTCACAGCAGTGCAAACCCCCACCCTACGTCACGTTAAAAATTTAAAAACTAATATAATATATTATGTGTAAAAAAATATTTAATTTTGGAGAAATTGAAGGGCTTCTTACAAAAACAACCATAGTTCAAATTGTGATTTATGTACACTTATATTTTAAGGCAGTAATCATTAACTTAGCAAGATAATGTTTATGACAAATCGTTAAGGTACGAATCCACAAGCAGACTAAAATCTCATGAGATTTTAGTCTCATGAGAAATTTGTCTCAGGAGTGTTTTCACATAACAGATATTTGACACCTATAAAATAAAATCTCATGAGATACTCTGATTGTGTATTTGCACCTTTAGGTTTGTACAGCACAAGTCTATCTTCAAAAGGGTTTTAAAATATTATTGTTTTAAATTAAAAATATTTTGATGTCCTGTTAATATAAATATTTTACAGAGATGTTAGTACTGGAAGACAGTATTACAATGTACCAATTGAAGATCAACACACCTCTCTTAATTTATTATTGGAATTTGCACTGCAAAAAGGAAATTTAAGTAGCATTTTAGAAATTGTTCTATTATTATTAAATCTATGGGAAAAACAATCTAATTTTGGTGACAATAGGTGAACCTCTAATTAATTATATCATAACACCTATAAAATATATTAATTTTAGGTCAATCATAGATGAACCCTCAGCTCCTCTTTTACCATTTATAAAAAGATTTTCCGAAATTGAACCAGTAAAATCACATGTTTTTCCTAAGGAAGAAATCGAGGAAGTTAATTATTGTACCAAAATATTTTTAGATTTCATGGATTTGCCTGAGGTAGATAGTATGGAAATAGATCTTAAGCAAGCAGCTGTTTTTGTTATGGCACACTTAGACAGATTGGCAATACCTCATATACCTCCTTTATCTTTAACGAAGGTAATAAAATCAGTTTTTAATTTATCAAAAACACATTTGAGTTTGTTTTAGTCAATTTCGTATTACACTGGTCAGAGAGTATGGGGATGGGGTGGTCTTTCTTGGATTATGGGATATGGTCCACAAAATTGCGAATCTCTTTCTGAACTAACTGTACAACAAATTTGTTGTTCAGATAGAAAACTTTTATTACTTACTAGAAGTGGAAAGGTGTATTACATGTACTATACATCAGAGACTCAATGTCCACAAATTGTGGAAGGTATTTTTTTCTAAATGAAGTTTAATTATTACTAATATTATTCATTTATATTTTAGGATTAAAAGATAAAGAAGTGATTAAAATATCTGCTCATGCAGAGGGTAAACATTTTATGGCTTTAACTAAGAATTTGGAGGTGTATTCTTGGGGATATGGTGATGGTGGCAGATTAGGTAAAGGATAAAACATATATTATCACTAATAAAATTCGGACACTAAAATTGAGCGTATTTTTATGCAAAATATAAAACTTAATTTATAAAAAAATCTGAAGGCTCTTGTGGCGTGACAAATTTTTTTTTAAGCTCTTAAACTATTAAATATTTAACAAATCACTGTAGAAAATAAGAAGTTGGACTAAGTTTGCAAATAGTAACCTCATAAATGTTCTTAAATATCAAATCAATTATTGAAATGTAATAAAAAGTTTTGTTAAAAAAAATATGTGAGCTTAGCCAAAGTAAAACTTTTTTTGGACAATTTAATTAAATTCGTGTGTTGTTTTATTTAATCATTAATCATTAAATATGTTAACTGTTTAGATATTCTTGAAGAATTTAACATTTTTGATGCTAAGTTAGCACTTATTAGCATTTATTAGATAATAGTTTGAAGATTAAAGTTTATCACTCAAAACAATTGATAGTCAAAATTTTTTTAAATATAAAATACAACTGTAAAACTTTGAGCCTAAAAATATTGATTTTTAAAAATTTTAGTTCAAATATTTTATTCTACAAAATTTTCGGTTTAAATTAGTAAAGAGTCATTTAAATGATAGTCGATAACTTTTTAATCCAAAAATTACTGCTTTAAAATTTAAAAATTACATTTAAATGTAATGTGAGATATGTTCTATTAAAAATTTATCGACTATCATTTAAGAGACTTTACAAATTTAAAGCAATAATTTTGTAGAATAAAATATTAAAACTATAATTTTTAAAAACCAATATTTTAAACTCTAACTTTTACATTTGCATTTTTTATTTAAAATATTTTGTTATTATGAATTCTTTTAAGATTAAAAAAAATTAATTTTTTAAACTATTTTGGTAGAAAATCTTTTATATGTGTTTTTATTTTAAATGTCTTGACCCTATTTTTAAATACTAAAAAATTTAACTTTACCAATTTAATCTAAATAATTTTATACAAAATTTATTAAGAATTTACAAAATTTAAATAATATGAACCTAATTTTTAGTTGGGAAAATTTTAAACCAATAAAATTTTAAATTAAAAAATTATTTAATAAATGTTAAAACGGCTTGCCAATAGCACTAGGGATGACGATATTTTTTTATATAGATTTACAATAAGATAATTATTTATGTTTTCAAGATACAGGGTGATAAAGTGTTACTTATCATATCAGTTTTTTTAATATAACTTCTACTATGATAGACTTGGAAAGGTGATATTTTAAGAACATCCACTCACTACCAATACACAATGTGTATTACACATATTCACACATAATTACAATTGTTTAAGTAAACAGTGTCGAAGAAACGGGGGTTGCTCTAAGCTTATATTGTCCTATACCAACTTTGAGGTTAGGTTTTTATAACATTTGATGCAATTTTTTGATTACTCAGTTCGGCTACTATTAAAAAGGTGTACCTTTTAAACTTCAAGAAAATAAACCGTTTTTGAGATATTATATGGTTTTGACTCACAATTTTTAAATGTGACTGAGTTGGGGCAAAAATTCCCGAGGCTCATGAAACGCCCTTTTAAGTTTTTTTAATTAAAGAATAAAATTTGATATCATATACCTTTTAATCCTTTAATGCGATATAACAATTATTGTAATCTCGGAAACGGTTTAATCGAAGTTTGAGAAGTTTACCTTTTTAATATTGGCCGAACTGAGTAATCGAAAAATTGCATCAAATGTTATAAAAACCTAATCTTAAAGTTTGTATGGGAAAATAAGCTTAAAGCAACCCCCGTTTCTACGACACTGTGTTCACTCATACAATTGTAATTATTTGTGAATATGTGTATTGGTAGTGAGTACACGTTTTTAAAATATTGTAACGTTTTTACGGTTCGTAGTGTGAATTAAAACACGCACTGGTTTATTAACGAACTAAACGATTTATTTTATAACTTAATTACTCTTAAAACACTATAAAACTAACTAAACCCTTAACTACTAATTAATTATATATCACTACTGTACAAGACTATTTATTTGCACGTATATTTATTTTATTTTACTGTATTTTTTGCACTTTTTTTTATTGGCTGCTTGTTTTTAAACAAAGGTTTAGTTAGTAATTAAAAATTTCACTTATCTCATTATTTTGGTTTTTATTTTAATTTTAAGTTTTTTAATGGAATCCAATATTTTCCACATTATTTAATGCCTATTAAATCTTTTATAATAAAGCCAAAAAGGCTTTTCTACAAAAAGTCCACGAAGTAGCTACTTGGTCAAAATATCTTAATATGCTTAATTTTATTCGATTAGTTTATATAAAAAATCATATATAGATATCAACATATGTATATCGGAAGAAATATATATTTTTGGGGTAGTCCTAGGACTAGGACTAGGATATCTATATATGATATAAACTAATCGAATAAAATTAAGCATATTAAGATATTTTGACCAAAACATAAATTTAACGATACAATTTTCTACGCCCTGTATACTGTATTTTATTATTCGGTAATAAAAACGTAAAAGTGAAAGAATCTTAGACAAAAAAGAACGAAGTCGAAAAAAACGCAATAAAGGGATCAGTCGGTATTCAGTTTGATTTCAACTTTGTTAAAAAATATGCTTAACTTTTTTCGATCAGTTTATATCAACCGATACAATGTATTGAACAATAATTTCAATTTGTCCTACCATTTTTATATTTATACTACTATGCGAATTTTTACCACTTTTTTTAATTTTGAACCAAAACTTGGAGTTACGAAATTATTAATTAATTCACTTGCCCTTCTCTATTAATTTTTTTAACTTTTAGGACATGGAGATAACACTTTTAAAGAAGAACCTACATTAATAGAAGCTTTGCAGAATCTTGATATTATTGATATCGCATGTGGAGGCACATACAGGTTAGTGTACCCTCGTAAAAGGGTAAACGGTTTTATATACTCGTTGGATCATAATTAATTTTGTGAATATTTTAGCGCGGCTATATCTCTCACCGGACGCCTGTACACATGGGGACGCGGCAACTACGGTCGTCTCGGCCACGGAAATTCCGAAGATTGCACGGTGCCCACGCTGGTGAACGCCCTGTCCAACTACTTTGTGCGCAAGGTGGCGTGCGGGGCGGGCGATGCGCACACCCTCTGCGTCACCGCTGACGGGAGGGTGTGGTCGTGGGGCGACGGCGACTACGGCAAGCTGGGCAGAGGCGGCTCGGACGGATCCAAAGTGCCCCGGATCATTGAGAAAATGCAAAATGTCGAGATTGAAGAGGTGTATTGCGGCACGCACTTTAGCGTGGCGCTAAGCAAAGAAGGTCATGTCTATACTTGGGGAAAGGTAAGATTAAAATTATATTTATAATAGTTTAGTAATTAGTTTCCGACCAAAACACGATTTTCAGCCGAATATTCGGGGTCCTAGTTTCTACCAAAACCGTAACCGAAACCTAGTGTTTTTTAGTGGCGCTGAAGGTCCTTGGGTCAATAACCTTCCAATAAATAGGAATTAACTATTCTTTTTAAATTTTAATTTACTGCAAGTTTACCCACTAATAATTTATCTATACTATTCTAAGCGCCCCGCGTAGACGCATACTCAGTAAAGCCACTCTCGCATAAATATTGTTTTAAGGAAACACTGAATAAGCGATGGCAGTTTGGACGTAGGTCGCGCAACATTTTAATTTATTTTATTTTTATTTTAGCTGTGTTTATTTTATATAAAGTTCATTTTTTTATCTGGACTGCGGCAACGTTGCAAATTTAGGGTTTTGGTTGGTAAATACAGTTGTCAAGTTGGTCGCATTGATTAAAACAAACTAAGCTATAGCTATAAACTATAGTAAAGCTTAATTTTCATGTATCCGTTTGTCCGTCAGTCCGTTCATCCGGGAGCGCTCTTATTGGTCCAATTATAATTCGAAAATTATGACATTTTATCGGTCCGTCAAGTTTGAACTTCGTACGTCTGACAGAGGAAGGTTAAATAATTTTAACTCATCCGTCACTAAACATCTGTTTTTGACGCCTAATTTATTTTCAAATATTTTTATATTTTTTCAATAAGATTGTAAAACGAAAATATTACGTTCGTTATGTGAATAATGTTTTACTGTTAAGTTGTTATTTAATAAGAATAACGAAAAAAAAGAAAGGACAAACAAAAAAAATTAAAACTAGAACTTATAAGGTAGGTATAATTACCTACCTTTAAATGTATTAGACAGCTAACTGTTAAAGTTACTATTGTTGACATAATTGTAACTATGACAATTAAGCATTAGGTAAATTTAGTAAGTGAATATACTGACACTTAATTTCTATTTGTCGCAAAATCAATCCGTTAAACGTCATTAAAAAACGTATGCATGAAAATTAGAACATTTCTTATCGGACGATTTTATTGAAAAACTGACATACGGATGACGGACAAACGGATACATGAAAATTATAAGCTTTATAAATCTAATTGTGGTTATGTATAAATTATTGTAGGTTACATTGTGCAGTTGTCAAAATGAGTTGTCGAAATTCGTAGTTAAAAATGCAATTAATTTGGCTTTGGTGGTGCCCCGCGTAGACGCATACTCAGTAAAGCCACTCTCACATAAATATTGTTTTAAGGAAACACTGAATAAGCGATGGCAGGTTGGACGTATGTCGCGCAACATTTTAATTTATTTTATTTTTATTTTAGCTGTGTTTATTTTATATAAAGTTCATTTTTTTATCTGGACTGCGGCAACGTTGCAAATTTAGGGTTTTGGTTGGTAAATACAGTTGTCAAGTTGTCAAACTATATACTGACACTTAATTTCTATTTGTCGCAAAATCAATCCGTTAAACGTCATTAAAAACGTATGCATGAAAATTAGAACATTTCTTATCGGACGATTTTATTGAAAAACTGACATACGGATGACGGACAAACGGATACATGAAAATTATAAGCTTTATAAATCTAATTGTGGTTATGTATAAATTATTGTAGGTTACATTGTGCAGTTGTCAAAATGAGTTGTCGAAATTCGTAGTTAAAAATGCACTTAATTTGGCTTTGGTGGTGCTTGGATGAATAAAATCATATAAAAAAAGTAGTTAAATATAGGTTGCTTTACGGCCCAGAAGAAAAAGTATTCCTAGCGGATATAATCTTCGTTTTGAAAAGAATAATTCTTTTAAGTTATTCTTTTAAATTATTTATATAAAAGAAAAATTTTTTGTGAACGTAAATGTTGTCCAATGGTGAATAATGTGAAAATAATGTGTGATGTAATATTTATACAACCAAATTCGTTACTTTTTTACTCCAAAAATGTCCATTTTCTTCCATTGTGGCATTTGGCATAATTTCATCAAAATGAAGTTTTGCCCTCAAAAGGGCTTTTACATTCGAATTCGTTGCTATTTCTTTGGCATAATTATATTTTTATTTATAATTGACAAGTAAAGTATCAATTATAAATATTGTCAATTTGACAGTGTCAAAGTATTTAATTAAATTCTTTAGCAGCAGTACCATTTTTAAATACTAAAAATACTTAACCAAATTGGCATAAGCCACCAACCTAAGAAAAAAACACGAGTCCAGATAAAAAAAAAATGAACTGTATGTACTATATCGTATTCAATATTTGTTTGGATGTAATGTAATGTAATGTGTATTAAGCATATATCTAGAAATATAGATATATGGTATTAAGTATTATTGATGTTAAGGTAGTTGTCGTGCTGTAAGCATACCATAGTGTCAGGTAAAAACAACTTGGCAACTCTGTACGCGAGTATAGATATTATTTCCGCAGTAAATTCAAACATACTGATTCAGTCTCCAATATATCTATTGGTTGAGCATAAGCGACGTTGCCGGATTAAAACTTATGAAATTATTTGAAAGTATTACGTAAGGGTAACGTCTCCAGGGTACAGTCTTGCGAAAAAATTATGAATCACTTAGCTACAAGCTCGTATACTTTTACGGTGCGTATAATCTAAAAATTTTTTACAATATTGTACCACGACAACTACCTTAAATTTAAAATTCAACACCATTTAAGTTTTAATGTAATTACCTACTATAGTAATCACTCAATTATTTTATTGCGACCAGTTTGAACAATACAAAAATAATTTTCCGGACCATACTTTAAAATCAGTGAAAGAATTTTTTTTTAGTCTAAATTATTTAAAACTTAAAACAAAACTAAAAGGAATTTATGAAAGGGATGATTTCGGTAAAAGTATTATGGGCGCATCAATGCTCCAATTATTTATGAATAATTATTAAACTTTTTCGGAAACTGTCAAATTGTGATAATACTATGCACAGAAGGCGAGCGATGTTTTTCTACATTAAAAAGAATAATAGTAGGTTTATTAAAGATTTAATATCATAAAAAGTAATTTTTCTGCACGAGAAAAAATTCGAATTTCAAACTATATTTGCGTATAGTACTGTTGCCATGTATCGTACTGTACTTATTATGGTATAAAAATAGACAAATACATTTTTATTTAATACTATGAGACAAGAGAAGAAATGTTGTGCATAGAAAAACCGTTTATAAACAGTATTGGTAATTATTATTAATTGTGTTATAAATCATGTTGCAAATTTTAAAGACCAAAAGGTTAATCCGGGTTAATCTAAACTTTAAAACCGTTTTTAAAAAATTGATTAATTAAATAACAACCCTATTTTAAAAAAACGTTCATTTCATATTCTCTATTTGAAAACCAGGAATAAAGCAAAATTACGGCGTGGCCTTGGACAAAAATTTCTCCTGCCAAATAAGAAATATCACGAGCCCGGTGTTTTTCATATTTTTGAAAAATGTATTAGATTAAATAAAATACTTTAATTTATTAGAAAATCACTTTATTTTACATTCGGATTATGCACGAAAAAAAATTATTAAGTTGATGAATTGTTGTAGTCACTAAAATGAAAGTGCGCTTCATCGCTAAACAAATTCAACATCTTGTTGCCTTGCCAGAATCCAATTAACAAATTCCCGGCGCATTGTATGGACTACTGGGATTAGCTCCTGTGTTAATTGAATTTTGTATGGATGCAATTGAAGATCTTTTGTTAAAATTTGCTACTCGAAATAGCAACTTGTTGGGAACGATTACGAATCGAGGTTCCAGAATTTTTTGTAACACTTTTCCCTACTGCTGCAATATTTTATCACGACCGAAAATTTGACGTAATTTTCGAACGGTTTCTGCATAGCATTCTCTATATTTAATAAATATTATTTATAATGAGTCTTAAGAATAGTAACACGTTGTTCTAGAGAATACCGTTCCATGAATAAAATGGGAATGTTTTTACACTACAGAAATCATCTTTTCAAGGACTTTGCAAAAAATAGGAACATGTCAAAATTTAAATCCGGCGTTCCTATTGAGACACCCTTTAAATACAAAATAAATTGGAAAGAACGACACGAATGCTGTTTTCTGCTGGAAAATTTAAAAGCTAAGAACTAAAAAAAAATTGTGTTAATTTCTGAATATTTTGGTGCATTTTAACAATAATTTAATGTAGACTGTGACGTGTCATAATTTATTTTACATAAAGATATATTTTTAATTAATTTAAGATTTGTTTTACCTTATAGGGTGAGGGCTGGAAACTGGGACATGCAACAGAAGAGCACATTCGATTTCCAGAAATCGTCGAAGCAATACAAGACAAAACAATAGTCTCATTAAGCGTTGGTATGACTCACGTTCTCGCATTAACAGACAACGGTGAGATATACGGTTGGGGCAGTAACGAGAAAAAACAGATCTGTGATAGCAGTGATACTTATGTCAGGCAACCCAAACCGTTGGAGGCTCTTAAAGGCCAGAAGGCTGTAGCTGTGTGTTGCGGAAGAAATCAAAGTTTTGCTTGGAGCGATGTAAATTCCTATACGCCGAAAGTTTCTGCCCCTTTCGTTATTGATCTCACGGAAAATACATTCAAGTACATTGATCAAATTTTGGAAAAAGTCATAACTGCAAATCCTTCCACTCAAGACAAGGAATGTCTTGCTATATCAGCTTTAAATTTACTTCATTTACAGGTACATATCATTTTGCGCAATAAAATTATTTTTTAAATTTATTTTCAAAAAAAAAATTGTTTCGATTTCTCAGTTAAAACAGTTCAAATGTGTTAAGGCAAAGAAGCTTTGTAGGTAAGGTGTTCCGTTGGCACTATGCATCATCAAAATGTAATTTGTTTTATATTTAATATAAATTCAGTTCATCCTATTAACTAAATTAAATATTTTTACACTCCAAAATTGTGGGTAATTAAAATTTTAATGGTACAAACTCATTAAATTAAAATAACAACAAATAGAGATAAAACTTCAATTTTATAATCGTAAAAATATAGAATTAAATGTAAAATATTTTTTTAAATATTATTTTTCTAGTTACACAGTATTATTATGAACAACATTGATCCAAAATCCCTGGGTCTGACTCCCAACGGAAAACTTCTGGGAAACATTAAAATGCACGTCGTTCATTTAGCGAGCGCAGTCAATATTTTAACCACAATCCAGGAGGCGGCGCAGGCAGCCCTTCAAGCCGGTTGGTCGGTTTTGCTGCCGACCGCCAACGGAAGGGCGCGAACTCTTAGCTCTTTACTTTTAAATACAGGTTTGTAATGAATAGTAACAAACGTGTTCCGACATTAATTACATTCATTTTCTTTAAGATGTTGAACCAAAAATGTGCCGCTCCGGTCATCGGTTCATGACCGATTTACTGGTGTGGAGTTTAATGGCCGACGGGGGACTCGAGACTGCCTTAGATGAGGCCCTGGGGGTTGATATTTCTGAACTTGCCAATTCCGATGAAACATTAGATCAGTCACTATCCACTCATATAACCATTCCTTTACTTTATCTTGTCCGGCAATTAGTGAGGTAAATATCTTCAATTTTGGGCAAATATTTTATTTACATTTACATGGGTTATTAGAGCCCGGATTTTATGAAACATAAATAGCTTGAAAAAATAATATTATTTCAAGCTTTTTATGTTGCACACACGAATATGCATAAAAAGTGTCAAAATATGCAACAATAAATGATACAAAAAAATAGTTTTTTTTGACGAGGTCTATTTTTTTGAGCACAAAATATTTTTCTCGCATTCTCGTTAATATGATACATTTTCTTCGTATTTAAATTTACTAGGATAGCTACCCACGCAGGCCGATCGGAACGGCTTTGTCTTCCTATAGGGTGACAAAGCCTTGGACTAGTCCAGTCAAACCGTGGTGTAAAATGACCTGTCCACCAAATTTGCACCACCTGACCATTTTTTTACAAAGATATACGCAAAAAAACATTTTTTTAATTTTAAGCTTTAGTACCCCTATTCTGGATCTAAAAAATTCGCCAACCATGCCTGCACCGGATGAAATGTTCAGCCGCCGATTCTGTAAGTGGTAGATTAGCGAGATCGGATTTGATTTTCACGATTCGTCCACGGGAACAGCTTCAATGAAAAATAATAAGATTTTTTTTGTACTTTCTTCATATAGCCTAATGAAAATGTTTTACCCTGTTGACGCTATATTGTTCTAGCCAGGTATCTTTGATTTAAGATTCTGTAATGGTTTCAAGAGGTTACAACCCTAATGGGAAAAACTTTTGTATATGGAGGAGAAAGTAATAAAACAACGCTATATCATTTCGGACTAAGGCTGTTCTCGTGCACGAATGGTGAAAATTAAATCCAATCTTTCTATTTTGCCACCCACACCAGCTGATCATTCTTTTTAAACATTTTATTAGATTCAGACATAGCTGGGGAAACAGTAAAGCTAAAAACTTAATGACCTCAGGAGGGATGGTCTCATCATCACTGGTCGACATCATTTCGTGCTGGTGTACGGATCAATGCGCCGGAAGCAGCTGTCGAAAAGCCGGGAAAATATGTTCAAACGCTAGATTGGTCGCCACTCGTTAGTCGCACTAAGTTATATTTTTTATATTTTAAAAAATTAATAGGGCCACAAAATGTTTATCGTAATATTTTACCGTAACATGCACAGTTTGCGAAATATCTGCAAAAAAAGTAAAAAAAAAAACAAATAACAAAATTTCGAACTTAACAAGCTATATATTTTTAGACAAATAACAATAATTTTGATTTTTTACTTTTTATTGTGCAGTATCCAAGATATTCACCAAAAACTAAAATAAAATATTTTTGGAGATGTCTTTGTAAAAAAATGTCAGGTGGTGCAAGTTTGGTTTTATGCTTTTCAAATAAGCATCTTTTAATGAAAACCTAGACAGTGCTTTAGCACGCAAGGTCAAATACGTTTGACTGGACTACTATTGCATAACGAGGACAGACGGGCAATAAATGTAATGAGTGTGAAGTTTGATGCCCGAGCGAAGCGGTGGAAGCACTCACACGAGTTGCATTTATTGCCTTTCTGATCAAGTAATCCATTCTTTTCATATTACCTGTACCGAAAGATATGGAATACACAATTTGAAACAACCAACAATACAATTATGACTACTTAGTAATTTTTGTAGGTTAAAGTAGAACGCTTGAAGTTGGCTGCATTGGGCACTTTGCTTTAATTATTTTTTCTTCATACCTTGTTGGAAAGTACTTACTTTAGTCCCTAATAGCAGGGACGAAAGTTTAACATTTACTCCCTGTGTTAATAATAATATAATATAATATATAATATAATATTAGTACGTACGTACTTTCGACCGAGGTAAACTTTCGTCCCTGCTATTAGGGACGAAAGTAAGTACTTTCGACCGATGTATGAAGAAAAATAGTATAAACCGCACGGGCTAAATGTTGAAATCTCGGTCCTACGCGCAGGGCCGAAAATTCCACTTTTGGCCCTTGTAGTGTAATATTAGGGTGTCATTTTTAAGCAACTTTTTTTTTTCAACTAAAAAACAGGCTAAAAACTTTCAGAAAGGTGAAAAACGAAACCTCTAAAAACTTGAGCTCTTAATATTATTCCTATTCCTAACTTTCCATTTTCTATTTAAACATGGAATTTTTTTTTCTTTTTTTTATATTTGTAGCTTGACATTTGAGCATTGTAAAAACGAACTGAAAAATTATTTTGATAGGAATTTTAATATATTTTTTCATAGAGTGAGCCGTTCTGAAGGTATTCAAACTTAAAGTTGCCTTTAACATTTCGAATCGCGGCACGTTAGCGTGCCTCTAGTCACTGTGTAATCCGAAAGGTAATATACCGACTGAACCGATATAATCTTTTATCAGAGTTATCGACTTTAAAATTATAAAAAATAAAGAAAGATTAAAAATTCAATACAATAACAAATTCATTGTTTTATTTAATCTCTTATAATTATTGAACAAATTTATTAAATAAAATAAAATGGAAAAAAAATTGAGATGTAAGTGTTGTTTTCTTTCTATACGAAAATAATTATTTTTTCTTATCTTATTTTTTCATAAAAAAAGTATTAGTTTAGAAAATAAAAGTCTTAATTTCATACATTTGCAAGTTTGAATACCTTCAGAACGGGTAAAGCTTAATTTTCATGTATCCGTTTGTCCGTCAGTCCGTTCATCCGGGAGCGCTCTTATTGGTCCAATTATAATTCGATAGTTATGACATTTTATCGGTCCGTCAAGTTTCAACTTCGTACGTCTGACAAAGAAAGGTTAAATAATTTTATCTACGCCAGTGAGATAAGAACTTCTTATCCCACTCATTTTGAGTGAGATAAGAAGTTCATTAACGCACGCGTTTTTCTCTGCTTTTAACCAATCAAATAAAAAAGTCAAAATGTCAAAATGTCAAAATAACCCTAAATAAATAATAAAATAATTACCGTTTATTTTTTCATTTAGAGGCGTAGATAAAAATTTGTACAATATACGTGTATAAGTGATCATAACTATCTATTATTTAGTAACTTAAGAAATGATTGTAAAAGATTATCAAAAAAATGTTATTCTGATTATATACAAGTTATTGAGGCTAATATTAAAAATGACTCTAAACACTTTTGGAGTTATGTTAAATCTAAAAAGTCTGACTGCAACTTGCCAAAATCCATGAACTTAAATGATGAATTTACTGATAACTATCAAACTATAGCTGACTTATTTGCCACTCATTTCTCGTCTGCATATAGCACTAAAAATCTAGTAAATATTCCTGATTTTATATATAGCCAAACAGTTGATTTGCATGATCTTTTTATAGGAGAAATGGATGTTTTTACTGAATTAAGTAAGTTAAGTTCTTGTAAAAGTGCGGGCCCTGATGGGGTCCCATCTGCCATTTTAAGCGGTTGCAAATATGCATTAACTAAGCCGTTATCTTACTTGTTCAATATGTCTCTTAGATCTGGCCTATTCCCTGATATATGGAAGAATAGTTTTGTTATACCAGTGCACAAGAGTGGTGATAAAGGTGATATATCTAATTACAGAGCTATATCTAAGATTTCACTAATTCCGAAGTTATTTGAATCAATTGTGACCAATAAAATCTCACCTTTATTCAAAAATATTATAATTGATGATCAACATGGCTTCTGTAAGGGTAAGTCGACATCAACTAATCTTGTTATTTATGAGAAATTTCTGTTGGACGTACTGGAGAGGCGCGGTCAGGTGGATGCCATTTATACTGACTTTTCCAGGGCGTTTGACAGAGTTAATCATATCATATTGTTGTCCAAGCTTGATGCACTGGGTATACGCGGTACGTTCTTGAGTTGGATTTCTAATTATTTATCCGATCGTTATCAAACTGTTCTAATTGATAATTGTTACCAGTCTAGACCTATTCTTGTTTCCTCTGGAGTTCCTCAAGGTGGCCATTTGTCACCTCTATTATTCAACTGTTTTATTAATGATATTAATTTAAATTTAAAGTTTTGCAAATGCCTTCTATTTGCGGATGATTTGAAAATGTTTTTTGAAATTAAATCACTTAATGATTGTTGTAAGTTGCAGTCTGACTTGAACAGTCTAAATTCATGGTGCGAGTTGAATTGTATGGAACTTAATATTAAAAAATGCAAGGTTATTAATTTTTATAGGAACAAAAATCCATTGTTTTTTTGCTATTCTATTGATAACAATGTTTTAGAGGTTGTGAACTCAATTAAAGATCTTGGAGTGCTGTTTGATAATAGGCTTACGTTTAGTGATCATGTTAACTTAATTATTAATAAGTCTTATCGTATGTTAGGCTTTGTCAGACGACAACTTCAGGACTTTTACGATATTAATTGCTTTAAAAATATTTTTATTTCATATATACGTTCAATTTTAGAGTTTAACTGTGTAGTGTGGTCACCGCACTATAATGCTTATGTAACTGCCTTAGAACGTGTCCAAGATAGGTTTCTTCGCCTATGTGCATTTAAACTCAACATAAGAGTTGAAAATATTAATTATAGAGAACTGAGACTGTTGGTAGGTCTGCAACCACTATCGATTAGGAGACAGGAGTTTGATATTCTATTCATTTATAAAATACTCAATAACCTTATAAACAGCTCAAAATTGCTGTATAGCATTCGTTTGTCTGTGCCACAAACTAGACATACCCCATTATTTTTCATTAATATGCATAGAACTAATTATGGTTACTATTCTCCGATCGATAGGGGGTGCAGATTGGCGAACAAATTTGAACTAAATTTTTTTTCTTTGAACTTGGTTCAATTCAAGAAACAACTTAGGCTAAAAATTAGTGTTTAGTACTTATAGTATTACTGCTGAATATGTGACTTAAACCTATAACAATTGTTATTCTTATTATTGTATTTTATGGTTTTCTTTTACCGTTAATAAAGTTTATTATTATTATTATATATTATTATTATATTATTATATAACGCTTTATTAACGTACTTTTGCATGCGTACGTTAATAAAGCTCTTATCCCACTTATATCGTAAATAACTATTAACTCATCCGTCACTACATATCTGTTTTTGACGCCTAACGTTATTTTAAGATAATTTATTTTCAAATATTTTTATATTTTTTCAATAAGATTGTAAAACGAAAATATTACGTTCGTTATGTGAATAATGTTTTACTGTTAAGTTTTTATTTAATAAGAATAACGGAAAAAAAAGGACAAACAAAAAATTAAAACTAGAACTAAAAGGACCTGCTTTTTTAAAACTATACATTTTAATGTATATTAGTGCTAGTATATTCTTTTTCTAAGGTATATTTACCTACAGTTGTATTCAATAAAAAAGCGTACAAGAATTAAAATGAGAGAAAACTGTCAAAATAATATTATTGCTTAAAACCGGCTTATCACTGACATAAGTCATTAAAATAATTACTATAGGTTATAAAGAGCATTGACGTCGTAGGTTAATTAAATAATATTACAAAAATTATTAATTTTTAATATAGATTTTTTATTTCTATTATACCACGGTACGAATTGACCATTCTTCTTCGATTCTTGATACTATTTGAGCCTTAACTGACGAGGCATTTTTATTTTCTACTGTCAGTTATAGTGACTTAAGTCAGTGGAAAGCCGGTTTTACGCAATAATGTTGACGGTTTTCTCTCACTCTAATTCTTGTACGCTTTTTTAATGAATACAACTGTACCTTTAAACTTATTAGACAGCTAACTGTTAAAGTTACAATTGTTGACATAATTGTAACTATGACAATTAAGAATTAGGTAAATTTAGTAAGTGAATATACTGACACTTAATTTCTATTTGTTAAAATTAATTAAAATTAAAATTAATCCGTTAAACGTCATTAAAAAACGTATGCATGAAAATTAGAACATTTCTTATCGGACGATTTTATTGAAAAACTGACATACGGATGACGGACAAACGGATACATGAAAATTAAGCTTAACTCCATGAAAAAATAAATTAGTACTTTTTTGTAGGGCGTTCAATTTCCTACCAAAGTAATTTTGCAGTTCGTTTTTACAATGCTTAAATGTCAAGATACAAAAATAATAAAAATAAGAAAATAATGTTATTATTAAGAGCTCAAATTTTTAGAGGCTTTTTTTCACCTTCCTGGAAGTTTTTAGCCTGTTTTTTAGTTGAAAAAAAAAGTTACTCAAAAATGACACATCCTAGTGTAATATACTATTCTTTCCTTTACGACATTACTTTTCCTCCCCAGGGATGCAATAGTTTATTTGATAACTAGGGCAGAAAGGCAATAAATGCAACGAGTGAGGTTTTCTGCCCGACCGAAGCGAATGCAGCACTCATACGAGTTGCATTCATTGCCCCTCTGGCCCAGTTATTCACGCTATATCGCTATTTTTTACAATACCCGCATCGAAAGATATAGAATACACAAATTGAAATAACAACTAGGTACCTAACGATTGAATTTTGGCATGGGGCCGTCCATAAATGGTGTAATTTATTTAAAATCAAAATTACAGTATAAATTACAATTCCAGTCTTTCCGATTTTGTAATGTTAACTGTTATTTATTTATTACAGAAACAGCAGTAATTTAACTCAATCATCGCTAAAAGAATTCTCCGCTTCGGGTAAACTGCCGCAAAAGAACCAAGGCGTGTCGCCAAGTTTGAAATTGTTGAAAAGATTTCAGCGATTGCTAATCGGTAAAATTTATCAAAAAAATCAGGAAACGCATGATGCTGCCGAAACTTTACTGGTAAAATATCTTGAATGTTTTACTAGTCACATCTGCACTACCTTAAATATGGCACACGATGTCGCTCTAACAACTCCAAAAAATTTCTTATCGGTTATGCATATCATAAAGTATGATATTATAGGTGAGTAAAAATAAAATATTTTTTTTACTTATTCATTTTTATAATTGCAAGTATCATTTCCCCAAAACTTTGAGTGGTAAAGTAGCTATATCAACGGGAAGCTTTAAAACATCAAAAAATACATTTAATGGTGTCAAAATGGGAAGTAACGGTATTCTGATTAAAGTCCAAATTATTTTCCAAACTTTAAAGAAAGCAGTACCAACCATCCAAATTATTTTCACAAACCACAACAGCAAAACCGCTGGTATTTTTACGGGTATAAGGGGAATTGTTATTAAAGAAACCATGGCTATAGAACCTAAAATAAAAAAAATATATGTAAGAAATATTAATTATGTTCCTTATAAAGACTTGCGTCTATATCCCAAACCTATTCCCTGTCATTTTGGTTATGCAGGTACACTGCATTGTGCCATACCAAACTAACCCAAACTTAACAACCCAACCCAACCGACCCCGCCCCATTGGGCCCCTCCCGCCCCATTGTCACAATCCAGCCTGCCCTTAGATATATTATACCTCTATTGCTCAATGGGGCGGGAGGGGCCCAATGGGGCGGGGTCGGTTGGGTTGGGTTGTTAAGTTTGGGTTGGTTTGGTATGGCACAATGCAGTGTACCTGCATAATTTTTTACTTTGAAATTTGTTAAAGAAACACTTGACAGTGACAAACTCCGGAACGCATTTGACAGGGAATAGGTTTGGGATATAGACGCAAGTTTATAAAGAACTTAAAACGAAAATTAACTTTTAAAAATATTTTTTAATATCTGAATTTTTAAATTGGGAAACATAATAACATAACTTACTGCAGTAAGTTTATTTGTCATGTTTAAAATTCTTATATTAAACAGGCCAAAAATGAAATTTTCTGTTGCTGCAGGGTAACAAAAACTTTTCTATCTATAATGTAGATTTTTAAATTTTTTGGATATGAAAAAAATGGTTTCTTTTAAACATTCACTTTAATTCAATTCCTACATATACTGGGTAGTCCAGTTTAAACGTCATTGCATTTAAGAGGTGTTAGAGCATCAAAAATAAGGTGGTCTTATTTTAAAAAAATCTAAGAAGGGGTTTTATAAACACAAAATAAACAAAGCAATATGTTTTAATAATAGTATCTTATTTTCAATGCTTTATCGCCTCTTAAAATTAATAACTTTAAACTGTATACAGGGTGTCCAATGTTATCTGCTCACCATTGCTAACTTCATTATTATTGCAGCTTCAAAGTCGGTTAAGTTAGTTGTTAATTGCCTTTTTTTCTTCTGATTAAAATGATAAAAACACAAATCAATTGAACGTCAAGTTCCCAAAATATTCACAAAAATAACATTTTTTAAATGGAATGTAAATTTTTACATAGGTTACATAAGTTAATTGTTAATTGCCTTTTTTTCTTCTGATTAAAATGATAAAAACACAAATCAATTGAACGTCGAGTTCCCAAAATATTCACAAAAATAAAATTTTTTAAATGGAATGTAAATTTTTACATATTCTCTAAGGAAATTTAATTTGGTGAAAAAAATATTATTGCATAACTACCCTAAACTTAAAAATAATCAATTAATAAGGACAAGATTGTTGTTAAAATATATTTTATCCGAAATCGGCAGTAAAGTAGAACTTTACTGCCGATAAAATGCTAGTATTGTTTGCAACCCATTATACATTTTAAGATGTGTCTACTGCTCCTTAGCAGCAACTAAATAATATTAAAAAAAGCACCCTCGCGGAGGTCGATTCATAAAATGTTGTTTAATAAAAATAATAAGTTAATTTTATTAATTAGATTAAAAAATCGCCGCGGCAGGCAAATATATAATAACAGTCGCAACAAACAGTATACGTAGACACTTCAAATGACATTTGATTTAATCATCAATATTAATATTAGTATTATTAAATGTGATTTCGGATAAAATTTAATATAAACCTCGGCATTAAAGTCTTTTTTATCACTCACGTGGTTATTTGCCTCGGCTTTCGCCTCGTCAAATAATTTCCACATTCTTGATAAAAAATACGAATTTACTTGATACATAAATGTTTGCGACATTTTGTCAGGTTTGACGTTTGATATATTATAGGTTACATTTTCTTTGCTGATTTCGAGCTAAACTCCACAGAACATAACTCGAGAGATGAAACCACTCTTCCTATGTAATTTCAATGTTTTTTCATTATTGTACAGCGGTTTTTAATAATTTGGTTGTTGAACTGCGTAAAAATATAAAAATTGTTACACTTGCGCTTAAAAAACTTTATTTATTAAAGTAATAATTTGGTTATTTAATAAAGTAATATTGTGGTTATTTCAACAATCATCAGAAAGTTCAAGTGCTTATTAATTGTTTATTTTTAAGTTTAGGGTAGTTGTGCAGTAATAATTATAATTTTATGTTACATATTAAAATGTCTTAAAATATTTTAAAATATACAGGGTGTCCCCTTTAAACAAATGGTATTTTTCTGAATATTTTAAATGTTTTTCTATTTTCACCATTTAAATCAGAAGAAAAAATGCCACCCAATTGCTAATTTAATCGACTTTGGACACGATTTATACTTTTTAATAAAATACTTTAACAGAGGACCATTGGTAATGTAGATATGGGTCCTAATTAAACTTAAGAATTATTTTCTGTAAAAATAATGTTTATTATATAAATAAAATCTTTTGTCGGTCAATTTAAAAAATTTTAAAACTCTTTGCTGTTTCGCAAACAATTTTTATGAACAATTTTTATCCTATTTTAATAAAATTTACAAAGTTTGTTGGTTGATTTGCCTACTTGTGTTAAAATTACAACGCAATCAAATTAAATTTTTTAAAATTACATTTAAATCAACCGCGCGTTTCAACATTGGTCGTTACGGCCATTTCTGTTCCATGCGCGTGTACGACTTCTTAAATAAATTCTGTGAACAGTAATTTTTTTAATTAACAAGACATTTTTATATTTTTTACCCTAAAATTATTTGATATTTACCAAGAAACACTTCAGAAAATAAACGAATATTTTTCTATTAAACCAGAAAAATAATAATTATAATTTATATATTTAGTTTTATAAAAAACTTACGTGTAATTGCTATGGAAAATAAAAAACAACTAAGTACAAAAAATTTGCAGAACTGATAAATTAAAATTGATAATTTTAATTGATGGCTTTGGAGCTACTTAAAAATAAATGCTTGTTCTACGTAATAACAACTCATATCTACAAATTTATACATTTTCTTTTTAGGACTGCTTTTACCAGAACTAATAGTAAGTTTGATCCTTCTGGAGCAAGAAGTTTCAATATTTCTAAGTTCGATCGATTGGATTCACGTTTTCGATGAACTAATGAAATCCATCGACAAACTTTGCAGACTGTCGCCGGACGTCGAACATTTCGACGCCGACGATATCGCCTGGCCCGGGATAACTCAAACGGGGGCCCAAACTTTCCCGCACAAAATCCACGAAGAGCTGCCGTTAATTCGGAAAGCCGACATAGACAACCACAACTTGGACGGCGGATTGTGGCTCATAATCAACAACAGGGTGTACGACGTGCAGGATTTTCGTTGCGAAAACGCCGCTTTGCAGGAAACGCTACAGAAATATGCGGGCAAAGATGCCACTCACATTTTTAACAGCTCCTCTCAACACCACGGCGTACTTTTGCAAATGGAGAACTACGTCGTGGGAAATTATTGTCAGCCTGAAACCGAGGCGTTGCCAGTTAATTTGGACTCGATGTGCGTTTGCGGTACGCTCTTGGATGCTGAAAGGAATTTGGGATATTTATTGGGTTTGCATGCTCACAATTTGAGACAAAGTTTACCGCTGCAACCTGAAGAAATAGAGTCTAGTCAGTGGTTAAAAGCCCAATTTTTAACAGGAGGATTACAGGTATTTAATATAACAACGCAACGACTTAAGATTTGCGAAAAGCTGTTATTGTACGTTTTTATGTTTTAACAATTGTTAATAAAGCGGTATTCCTGACCCTTTTCCCAAATAAACTAAAATAATAATATTACAACACTGCGTTTATTCATGTTTTTCTCGAGGTTGCTCAGGATCTATGTATCTATGGAAATCGTTTAATGACTTTTTGCTAGGTAGTGGTTAGCATCGGTAATAAAATTCCGAGGTTGGTGTAATATTGCATTTTAAGGATGAGATCGATTATCTATATAAATATTCGTACTAAAGGGTTTTTCATTTAAAGCGTCATAACTTTAACCCTAAAAATAAGGCTGCTCTGGAATGTAAATGTCAAATCTTGACAACACATGTGTTCAGTACACAGACCTTGTTTGTAGGTCTGTGGTTCAGTACATTGTACATTGTGTCAAATTAATAATTCGTATTCGTATTCATTACCATCAAAATGCATGTTCGGTTTGCCAAACATTTTGCAAGTTGCGAGAAATATAAGGTTTATCGTTTAAGAAAAAACTGGTTTACTGGCAAATAAGTCAACTTTTGTGCATCTAAAGGATCATGTGAAATCTCAGGTTTACAAAAATAAGCCACGAACAATTCTCGACCTTAAACGAAACATTAAACGCACTATTCAAAGTATACCACGCGATATTTGTAAAAGAATAGTAGAAATTAGGCCTTCATAATGCATTCAGTCAGGCAAAGTCGAGGGGGACATTTAAACGATATTATATTTAAAACATAATGTCATCGATCGTTCTTCAAAATAAAATATAGATTACGGGATTATAACATGTAGTTATTTTTTTATCTCATTTAAAAGTTCTGACGCTCTAAATGAAAAACCCTTTATTATGAAATTAATTTTCACAACTTGTTTTTTTTTAGTAAACAAATGTTTCAATTTTACATCAAACTTACTTAGTGACGCGTGACATCGTCGGTATACAAGAAGTGACAGAAATAACACATTTATAAAATCGTAATTGCTTTTTCTGTTTTTATAGAAAGGAAAAAAAATCGGCCAATCTTAGGCTCGCCATTTGCACTTAAAACTGAAAGTGAACAAATATTTTATTTTTATAAATTTTGTTACTAAATCTAATTTTCTACTAAAAAGGTCATTATAATTAATTATTATCGCATAAATATTGTGGTTTCAGAGATAATGTAGAAAATTGGGTTTTTATCTTAAAGTTTCCATTTTTATAACTGAAATCGCAATTTTTTCTGAAACTACGAGTGAAACTATAATATTTATGCGATAATTAAAAAGGGTGCTTTTTGTAGACAATTAAATTTACTTAGGAACTTAAAAGTTTTATTCGTAGCTTCAGAGATAAATGCGATTTCAGTAATAAAAATGGAAATTTTAAGATAAAATTAAAAACATATTTTTTATTTTCAATTTTAAGTGCCATTGGCAAGCCCAAGATGTCAACCAAAATATTTTTTCCTTCGCACATAATTTTTTTCGCCTCAAAATAATATTTTTGCTATTACCAAGTTAATTTCCAAAAAGGCCTCTCTAATGACTTGTTCTTAAAAAAAAATAACGTGTTGTACAAAACTACTCCGATTAATTCACAATCATACTATGAAAGTGGTTAAATTTGATGAAATTATTTTTAAGAAGGTGTAGGCTATTTAATAGGGCTGTACAATTTAGCCGGTTAAACCGGCTAAAAAAGTTAGCTAAGTTAATTAGCTATCTAACTGATCAGCTTAGCTAATTTAACCGGTTAACTGAATTAGCTTAGCTAATTATCTGGCGGCTTAACCGGTTAATCTAGCTTAGCTCAGCTAATTAGCTAACGGCTAATGGGCTAATTAGCTAAGCTAAGTTAGATTAACCGGTTAAATTAGCTAAGCTGATCAGTTAGCTAGCTAATTAACTTAGCTAACTTTTTTAGCGGGCTTAACCGGCTAAATTGTACAGCCCTACTATTTAATGAATATTTAATTTTTTCTCAATATTATCTAATACTTTCGTCAGATTCACACTCCAGGCAAAAAAAAATAGGCTTATGGGCCATTCCACGCTTAACGGATAGGACAGTTGCCGTGTTTTTATTTACAAAATAATATTGTTCTATTATATTACCAATATCAAATTTTTATAAATAGTTCTAAACAAAAGCGGTTTAACAAGGTTTTTATTTGGCAAAATTAGGTATCGTGATTGACTGTTTAATTCCTTAAAAAATAATAATTTAAAGCGTAACGGGCGGGACTATTACAAAGTCCCGTCCGTTACGCTTTAAATTATTAGTTTTTAAGGAATTAAACAGTCAACCACGATACCTAATTTTTCCAAATAAAAACCCTGTTAAACAGCTTTAGTTTAGAACTATTTATAAAAATTTGACATTGGTAATATAATAGAACAATATTATTTTGTAAATAAAAACACGGAAACTGTCCTATCCGTTACGCGTGGAATGGCCCTTATGTAAAGTATGAAATAAACATTTTTTATTGTTATCTGTATAAATATCTAACATACACTACATCTATTGTACTTCTAGATTTTATGGTTGATATATTAGGATTATTATTTATTTTTAAGTTAAATTCACGATCTAATAATCTATCAACGGTTGTGCTTTCTCTAAAGCAAAATTAACATTAAAATATTCACTGAAGATGATATGCAATTAAGAATCTCTTATAATAAATCATCATAATAAATTAATTTCTTGTGACTGTTAATTCGCAAAATGCATTAAAAAACGTAAATGCGTAATACTGAGTAGTATATTTTAATATTTTCATAGATAAAGACATTTTTCTTCATAGTAAACAATTTTATTAAATGAATTTGATGGACACAAATAAATATTCATTTTATTACTTTGAGACTAATGTTTAGAAACTGGTTGTTAATGGCATTTTCGTTTATATCTATAGCTAGAGGGCAATCTGTATGTAGTAAAGTTTCAATTGAATCAATTCGAAGAATCGCCAAAAATGATAACATTTTGGGAATAATGATGCAAAATAGCTAAAATTTAAAGAGCAATTTATTTTTTCGACCAAATTGCTAGGCGCAAATTATTTCTTGAAATCGCCCAATTTGCGATAAAGCGCCCATTCTGGAATAACTGCTCACGGACCGTCATGACGCGTCACTGCCATAAATAATAAATGTTAAGGCTCGGCGACAGTTGCAGCGATTCGCCACGTCACATTACCAACTCTGGAATAATTTCATAGTATGTCATATAAAATAATTTTGCCCTACCGTGCGTAAAAAACTCTTAAAAAGTGCCTTAAATTGTGTTTTTACATTTTAAATGACACATCTCAAAACTCGTAATTGTGTTTTCTTTTTTCTATGGGTGTCAAGAATTACTAGTGTAAAATAATTCTATTTAAATTCGGTTTTTAAATATTTTTATATAGGGGATGGTCTACACATTTTCCAGTTGATATTCTTCAGAAAGTTGCAATTGATTTTCAGATATTGCAAATAATGTTTAGAAAGTAGCAGATGTAATTCAGAAATTGCAAATAATATTCAGACAGTAGCAATTTTATTCAGGATATGTAAATGATATTCAGACAGTAGCAATTTTCTGAATAAAATCATTTGAAATTTAGATATTATAACGACCTTTGCATACAGTTTTCACTTTAGACCAAATTATCTCTGTCGGATTCAGCATTAATTAAGCATAGAAAATAAATAAAATTAAGTCAGGAGATAAAAACTCCTAACAATATAATTTCCTAAGAAAATGTCCAAATAAAATATTATAATTGTTAAAATAGAACATCATGATGATAGTATATCAATAATATAATAATAATTATATAACATTGGAATATAGTATATCACTTTAAATTGAATGAAAAATTTAAAATATTTTGTCATTGTCAATATCACATTTTTCGTGAACTCTGAGGAACATGAGCTGGCCTTGTAATATATCTTTTTTAGATTGTTCAACCTCCTAATCCATATGAAGAAGAAAAAGGAGAATCTCGAAGCACAAACTCAACAGCCGAAAACACTCCAACTGAGGCAAGAGCCAACATTTCCCAAAAGGTATTAAAGAACAGCCAAACCCCGATGGACCGAATAAATGGTTTTATTAATGCTTTAGCAGAAAGTCGACTATCGGTAAGGTTTTTTGTTTAATCGACCTGAAGCGTAGTTCGTTCATTTTCCATTCTTTTTCGCCAGGATTCTTATGTTATAGCGTTTTTGGCTATAGTAGAGCAGCATTCAAAGCAAAATAACTATTTGCAAAGGGTGGATTTTTCATTTGAACATCCCATAGAAGAGATTGGTAGAGTTCTGTGCGCCGTTTTGTTGAAGCATTTAGGACTGGGCTATGTTTTATTACCAATTTTAGATGCATGTAAGTTAAACCCTTGTTTTTAGAATTTAGAAACTTTGTTTTTTGTTTATAATTTAACCATTATAAAATTATGTTTTTTTTTCAACACAATTTATTAATTATTGTTATAATTTATATAGATAACAGTCAACCAAACTTAAAAATACCAAAAGCGATTTCGGAAATGTTAAAATTGGTTCACACTGCCAAGTGGAATCTTATAAAAACACGACAAGAGGTAAACAAAAGTTACAAAGAAATATGCATACCTCTCCTAGAAAAATGTCGATTTCTATTGTACGAAGTCAAACCAGCCATAAGCACTGAGACGGAAGCTTTCAAAAAAGTAAATGTGTTGTACAAGGAACCAAGAGTCAGAACTCTGGTCAGAAAGGTAATTAAGGATCTAAAATGCGGCAGACACACTTCTGAAATTCAAAAACCAGAGGACATAGTTAACGCGACGATACAATCACAAAGCATTGAGAAACATAAATCCATGGAGGACATTAGCAAGTCCACAATGAAGAAGACGTCGTCCGATGGAAAAATTTCGGAATCGAAAAGCGAAACCGACGACGTGAACAACGAAATTAAGAACGGAGCCCAAAAGGCTGCCGTAGAAAGCCGAGCGATGTCGGAATCGTTAAACAATTCCTCGAACACTTCGAAACCTGACCAAAGAATCACAAGAAATAGCACGACTGACTTTAAGACTGAGCTGGATGAGAAATGGACTGTTAAAAACGTGGAAAGTCTGCCGATTATCGAGCAGGTTGAAGATAAAGAGAAAAAAATTGAATCACAAATTGCTTTAAATAATATAATCTGCAAGTTAAATGAGAAGAAGATGAAAAAAGTTTGCAGCGAAAATATAGGACTAATGAATTCCATAAGGGATTTTGTATTACATGCTACCTGCGATGTGGAAATATTAAGAAAAATAATGTATTATCAAGTAAGTAGTCAGTGTTTTAGCAGATGGCAGCGAAAAATCCCTACTCTGCTTTTTGCTTTTGGGGCAAGAAAGCCCTTTACAAAAATCATGTTTCGGATATTAAATTTTATAAATTTCCAATTGGTATTTATAGATAAAAAAATTGTGTGCCTCACCTTTATAAGTACACTATTCAAGTGAAACTTCTGAAGTAGATAATAGAAATCAAGTTTTAAAGTAATGATTAAAGTTGTGTTATTATATCTTTGGTTTACATATTTCATTATTTTCTGTTAGAGTCAAGTGGGACCAGAAAATTTCACGAAATCACCGATTTTGAAAATAATCACATTATTGTGTAGTAGGCATGACGCATATGTCACAGTAAAAAATTTGTTTTGAAATTCGTTTTTTTGTTAATGTTATTAAAGTTAATAATTTTGTAAAACTTAAGAGCACGGTAAAATTGAAAAAATAGAATCTCTGGGACCACTCTGTATAATTGAATTAAATTTTAAACACTATTGTAGCAATGTTTAGACTATAGAATGATCATTTAATTAAGAAAAATTTGTTTAAATAAAAGAGTTTTGCATACATTTTTAATAAACAATTAAAATTTTTTATGTGTTCTTCACGCTGAAAAAAAATTAATCTTGTGTCATAATATGCGGCAAACGTTTCTGTTTTATAAGATGTACTCAAAAATTTGTCCTTCATATGTCGGGGATATTAAATTTTTTGTCCCGCCGCGGCGGGCGCTTGATTAGTACGCGGCGCGCTTCGCTGCTAGATCGTCAGGAACGCTGTGCTCACGGTGTGCCTAAACAAAGTTTAAGTCACATAAAAATGCCGCCAAAACTAATTGCAGTTTCTTGTTCGGGACCCTTTGGTGACTTAAAAATGATATTTACCAAAATCCTAGCTGCTCCTCTTTTCGAAATTTTTTGAAAATTCATGATTTTTGTTGAAATTTTTGTTTATCTCAAAGTCTACCTTTGACAAAGTACACATTTGTACACCGATTTTTATAAAACTGGAGTATATTATTGAGGAAACTTAGAGAATACTTTTTAATACTGATCACATCATTTGATATATACAGGGTTAGCCTCGGGTTAGCCAAAAATCACTTATTTTTAATAAAGCAAAAGCGTAAATTCATGGTTTTGTCATAACACGCAAAAAAGATTTATCCCTAATTTTTTTTTTAGATATTTATACGTTTATCAGGTTACAAAATGGCATTCTATTAACCTTTTACAAGAAAAATAGATTTTTAATAAAATTACATAAAATAACGTTTAGAGAATATTTAAAATGTTGTTTAATTTAGGTTTTTTAGTAGTTTTCAATTTTGAACGAAAAACTGGTTGAAGTTTTTTGATCGGCACTCTTTGGTGATTTAAAAACTATATTTACCAAAATTCTAACTCCTTTTTTTTGAAATTTGTAGAGTACACATTTGTACACCGATTTTTATTGGAGTATATTGTTAACGAGACTTAGAGAATACTGTTTTTATACTGAGCACATCATTGCGGTTACCCAAAAATCACGTTTTTATATAGTAAAAAGCATAATCCACAAAAAAGATTTATCTTCAAAAATTTCAAAAAAAATCATGAATTTTCAAAAAAATTCTAAAAGAGTAGCAACTAGGATTTTGGTAAATATCATTTTTAAGTCACCAAAGGGTCCCGAACAAGAAACTGCAGTCAGTTTTTAGCGGCTTTTGTATGTGACTTAAACCTTGTTCAGGCACACTGCATGCTGACGAGCTAGAAGCGAAGCGCGCTGCGTACTGATCAAGCGCACAGCGGGACAAAAAAATTAATATCTCCGGAATGACATATGAAGGACAAATTTTTGCGTACATTTTATTAAACGGGAACGTTTGCGGCATATTATGACACAAGTTTAATTTTTTTTCAGCGTGAAGAACACATACAAAATTTCAATTGTTTATAGTAAATGTATGCAAAATTGTTTTATTTACACAAATTTACTATAATTAAATGATCATTCTATAGTCTAAACATTGCTACAATAGTGTGTAAAATTTAATTCAATTATACAGAGTGGTCCCAGAGATTCTATTTTTTCAATTTTACCGTGCTCTAAAGTTTCACAAAATTGTTAACCTTAATAACATTACCAAAAAAACGAATTTTAAAATAATTTTTTTACTGTGACATATAAGTCATGCCTACTACACTGCCGTGCTTAATGAAAACGCCGTAACAAACAATTTTGCGATTTTTGTTTTACGGCATTTTCTACTAGAACAATTCATCCTGCGTCTATCCCCGGTACTCAAAAAACCGTATCTATATATATACGGTTTTTTGAGTACCGCGGATAGACACAGGATGAATTGTTCTAGTAGAAAATGCCGTAAAACAAAAATCGCAAAATTGTTGGTTACGGCGTTTTCATTAAGCACGGCAGTACACTATAATGTGATTATTTTCAAAATCGGTGATTTCGTGAAATTTTCTGGTCCCACTTGACGTGGCTTGACTCTTACAAATTTATAAAAAAAATCTCATTTAACTCCTGATTATTTACTGACTAGTTACTAATTAGTTATTGGCTTGTTACTGTTTGTAATTTTAAAGTTTTTGGAAATTTTAAACAGTGAATTTAAATGATTTAAAAAAAATTGGATTATTATATGCTTTGGAAATTATGAAAGTAAAGTACTAAAAGTTTTACTTACCTTATCCTTAAAACTGTTTAAAACCTTTGTTCGATATTTTATACCGCGGTAGTTGTAAAATAAATGACATAACCTCTGCGACTTCATGCTGTAATGACTCTTAAAACTGTTTTAAACATATTTTCGATAGCAGTAGTAGTCAGAGATCGGCAATAACGATTTTGTGTCAGCGATTTGGCTATATATTGGTTATAATTTTAATATTAATATTGTTGACTATTATTATTTTTAATTAATTGAATCATTGTAATTAGCCAACAAAAATATTGTCAATCATTTCGAAATCGATTATTATTTGTATGATCAATATTAAGCTTTCAGACAACTAATAATTATGGAATCAGCTACTACTAATTATTTTTATATTTAGGTCTTTATTTTAAGGCGTTTAACTCATTACTAATTACTTAAGTAATTAATGAATATTTAGTAATTGGAAAAGAAAACTAATCTTAACTAGTATTTAAAAATTTAGTAGGTATTTGGAAAAAAAATGATAATTATTTGAATAATTAGTAATTGCAAAAACAATTACTTAATGTTAATTTTTTAAATAGTTGAAATGAAATATTTAGTAATTAAAAATATATATTGCTAATATAGTAATAGTAAGAAGTACATTGTGCGATCAATACTCCCGATCCCTTCCCGTTCCTGTACCGTTTATGCTCTATGTCTGTCTCGTTTCTGTCCCGATCCCGTCTCATTCCTCTCCCAATCCCGTCTCGCTCCCTTATCGATTCTGTTCTGTTCCTGTCTTGTTTTTACCCCGTTTCTGTTCCATCCCTGTTAGCTGTCAATTACTTAATATTTAATTAATTAGTAATATTTTGGCTTTTAATTACTAATTATCTATATATTAAGTAAGTTTTCTATTGTTAATTATTAAAATTTAATTTCTAATATTAAGATAATTAATAACATTGTTTCTAATTTCTGACTATCCAAATACTTAGTAACTGCTTCTTAAATAATTGCTATTTTTATAAATAGTTAATATTATTTTCTTTAATCATTAATAAATAAATAAATAAAGTTTTTATTGCATATTCAGTACAATACAGAACATATAATACAAAATATACAAAAGGCCATCGACCGGGGTCCTTCAGCCTGATTAATAAATTTATAACTACTTGGCAATATTCATATTTGACTAAACCATACAGTGCGGACGTTAAAAGTCCCCCCTGTTATCTTTTGAACGACATCGGACAAAAACCATTGTCAAGGACATTAAGAATACTACTTTTTGACGTCAAATTGATAGGTGCCCATTTAAGGAGCGCCAAGAGGGCAGTATTAACTTAAAAATTTCAAAGGGCTTGTGATACCTCATTTGAAAGGTATTTCGATTCTCTATTCGATGCTATTTAAATTTTTAAAATCCGTTTAACGGTTGCTAAGTAATTAAGCATTTCAGTTTTTCAAACTAATAATAATAATAATAAAATACTTTATTTTCATCCTAAGAAACATACATTTTCTTGCCGCCCTAGGCAGCTACATACGTTGCCCATTTATTTTTTTTTACACTTTTTTGTTGTTGTTTTGTAAAAAAAACGTACCATTGTAGTTAAAAATTTCAAAGGGAAAGGGAGGCTTGTGATACCTCATTTGAAAGGTATTTCGATTATCTATTCGATGCTATTTAAATTTTTAAAATCCGTTTAACGGTTGCTGAGATATTAAACGTTTAAATAAAATTAAGTCTCAAATCAAATTTTATTATTAAGTACAAGGTTTTCATTCATTAAGTACAATAAATCATCAAATTAGATGTTCGAAATGCTCCCCTTGGACATTTTGACACAATAATAGTCTGTTTCTAATTTCAGTTCTCACATTTGTAAACGTTTCTTGGGTAATATTCGCACATTCATGTCTAAGGTCATCAATTGATTCTGGTTCGGTGATGTAGACCTTTGATTTTAAATAACCCCACAAAAAAAATCAAGTGGCGTTAAATCAGGAGACCGAGCCGGCCATTCGGTAGGACCACGCCTACCAATCCACCTATTTGGATAAGTCTCAAGCCACAGTCTAACATCCCTAAAATAATGTGCGGGCGCTCCATCTTGTTGAAATATTACTTCCATTTCAAATTCGTCAGGATTAGCTTGAACTACACTCACGTGCAAAATAATCGATCCACACAAATTTTCGATGAATTTCAATCGCAAATAACTTTTTTATTTGATGTCGGATTTATGAATATGTCTTCGACTGATGTTGCCAGAGCTATTAATTTAATCCAGGATGGACGGTCACAGTATTACGTGGCAAGTTTTTTAAACATCATAAGAAGTAAAGTATAAAGGGCAACATCAGTCGGAGACATTTTTAAAAGTAAGAAGGCACCTCAAAATTAACACATTAATTTACGAAAAAACAATTTGATAGCTTTTGTATATGACATGTCCAAGTATGGGATGATTCAACAAAACTGTCACTGTCATTCTCCATAGCCTAGGGATGGACCATAGCAACCTTAGTTCTTCATACCGAAAAATATTGGAAATTGCAATGTTTTTTTTTAAAAATCCATATTTTCCACAAAAATAAATATATCGAGGTGAACCTAAAACAAAACTGTTAAGAATAGATGTGACTTGATAAATAAAACTTAATTTAGAACAATATACGGTTTTGCCACTCTACAGAGTGTCTTAAACTTATGGTAAAAAACATATTTTTGTTTAAACCTGTATATTATAAACGTACGTCTATTTTTTTTAAAATGTGAGCGATTGTCCATTAATTTATCTACAATATTCTTTAATATTCGTTTAAATCCGACATTAAAATAAATTTGTGTGGATCGATTATTTTGCACGTGAGTGTATATCTTGAATCATTGGATGAATTTGTGTTTGAAGCATTAAGTACAAGATGCCTGTTAAATTTCCTTCCAAAAAGATGGGTCCTACAATATGGTTTCCCAGTTGTCCCGCCCATACATTGACTTTTTGTGGATACTGGGTATGACCTTCACGAAATGCATGTGGGTTAACATCTGACCAGTAACGTACTGTCCGTTCATGCTAAGTTGAGCGGTCTTAGGAATGTCACCCCGTCCATCATCTCTATGTTTAGTCACAATTAAATACATGTATTTCGGTAGCCGCTCTGTACCAACAAACCGCAAGCCCCGGCACTGATAAATCATCTTCTTGTTACCGAAATCTTGCGAGGATTAGATATTTAATTTAATCAACGGTCACAAGATCCCCCACCAAAGCGCTCAACTTAGCCTGAACGGACTGTATATTTTGCCGATTTACATTGCCATTTAGGAAAAAAGTACTTTCATCACTAAAACAAATTGATTGCAAGTACAGGGGATTTTGTATTATGCGCTCAAACATAACTTCACAAAACTGTACTCTGCGATCCGGGTCATCTTCAGTAAGTTGATGTAATAATTTTAATTTATAGGGATGAAATTTGTTTTTTTTTTAATATTTTTTAACAGTTGATATTGCTACATCACAATCCCCTGCAAGTGCCGCCGTCGATTGTTGTGGAGTATTGACGACGGAACCGACTATTTCTTTTTGTTTGTCTTCTGAGATTAATTTTCTATCCGATCCTTTCTGCCTACTCAAACTTCCAGTTGTTTGAAATTTAGTCACTAACTTCCGTAGATATTTTCTGCAAATAGGGTTGTCTGGGTACCTTTCATTAAATACCCTCTCTGCTTGGTGCAAATTACGTCCAACTTCAGCATAAATAAAAATTGCTTCTGTTTTTTGTTCCAACGGGCGAGCGCGAACCATTTTCCAATGAAATAATAAGAAAAATTGCAGGCACAACTGATAAATAGTGTTACACTAAAGAGTAGAATTATTTTATAAACCGCCTTATAACTACAATGGTACGTTTTTTTTACAAAACAAAAACAAAAAAGTGTAAAAAAAAAATAAATGTTGATACAGATTTACGATAATTTGCACCGCCAGGGCCGGATTTATCGAACAGGCAACGTATGTAGCTGCCTAGGGCGGCAAGAAAATGTATGTTTCTTGGGATGAAAATAAAGTATTTTATTATTATTATTATTATTATTAGTTTGAAAAACTGAAATGCTTAATTACTTAGCAACCGTTAAACGGATTTTAAAAATTTAAATAGCATCGAATAGAGAATCGAAATACCTTTCAAATGAGGTATCACAAGCCCCCCTTTCCCTTTGAAATTTTTAAGTTGATACTGCCCTCTTGGCGCTCCTTAAATGAGCACCTATCAATTTGACGTCAAAAAGTAGTATTCTTAGGGCCGGTTTTTCAATCGTTGGTTAAGTTTAACTTACGGTTAACTTTCTTAGATACTATTGTGTTAACAATAGTATCTAAGGAAATTAACCGTAAGATAAAGTTAGCCAACGATTGAAAAACCGGCCCTTAATGTCCTTGACAATGGTTTTTGTCCGATGTCGATACCTTTTTTCGTTCAAAAGATAACAGGGGGGGACTTTTAACGTCCGCACTGTATATACAGGGTGTTTCTTTTAACTTGAGACAGCTCAATATCTCGAGAAATACGCATTTCACGGAAAAATGTCTTAAATAAAAGGTTAATGTGACCAAAGGGGACATTATTTGGTGCTACCGCTAGCCACCCCCTACCCCTCCTTAAGGGTGAAACGGGGGGTAACTTTGGAAAGTCAAATGGAATGACCCGATTTTTTTCACAGAGTTTGGTAGTACATAAAAAAATAAATAACTTTTATTTAAAACTTTTTTCAATTTATCAGCAGATGGCGCTGTAATTCAAAATTTAAGAAAAAGGGGTTTCCTTGTAAAATGTATTATTTGAAACGTTTGAAAAACAAAAATTAACATTAAATCAACAATAGTCGGCTCTGAAAACAATTTATAACAAATGTTCGAAATGTTGTCCTTCCATTTCGACACCAAGTGGAGCACCAGCGTCCCTGGTCGGTAAACGTTTGGTGCGGTACCTTAACACTTTCGCTGCTGACTGGTATGGGCAATCGACCCCCAGAAACTGAAATAGTTTGGGAAATATTAAACAGTTTGAAAACAAAAAAAGTTTAAAACACATTTATTTTATAAAAAAAAACTCAGGGCTAGGACGTCTTAAGACGTCGTCAGCCACCTGCTAAAAAAATTTATCCAGAGGCGGAAGACGTCTATGTCTAAAGGATTACTAAAGGATAATAAGCGATATTTTAGTGGACGTCAAAAGGCGCCGTTCGCCTCCCACTTAAGAAGCGGTGGCCGTCTTTAGACGCCGTCAGCAGCGAACGTGTTAAGCGAACGATTAATCGGACCCTTCTTTATTGACGGTGCATTAAATGGCGAAAAGTACCGGAATTTTCTAGAAAACGATCTGACGGACCTTTTGGAGGATGTACCACTAGCACGGCTCCAAAACATGTGGTACCAGCAAGATGGTTGTCCTGCACATTATTCAACAATTGGTCGAGAGGTGTTGGATCGGGAGTTCAATGGCCGGTGCACCGCGGTGGATCGGTAGACGTAGTCCAGTAATTTGGCCTGCTCGATCACCTGATCTTACGCCACCAGACTTCTTCCAGTGGGGTTACTTAAAAGAAAAAGTTTACGCTGCAATTCCTACAACTTGGGAGGACATGGTGGAGCGGATCAGGATCGCCTGTGCGGCGATACCGCCCGACATGTTGGCGCGTTGTATGCCAGAATTCATTACCTGCATTCAAAAATGTGTTGAAATGGAATGACGACATTTCGAACATTTGTTATAAATTGTTTTCATAGCTGACTATTGTTGTTAATGTTAATTTTTGTTTTTCAAACGTTTCAAATAATACATTTTACAAGGAAACTCATTTTTCTTAAATTTTGAATTACAGCGCCATCTGTTGATAAATTGAAAAAAGTTTTAAATAAAAGTTATTTATTTTTTATGTACTACCAAACTCTGTGAAAAAAATCGGGTCATTCCATTTGACTTTCCAAAGTTACCCCCCGTTTCACCCTTAAGGAGGGGTAGCGGGAGGCTAGCGGTAGCACCAAATAATGTCCCCTTTAGTCACATTAACCTTTTATTTAAGACATTTTTCCGTGAAATGCGTATTTCTCGAGATATTGAGCTGTCTCAAGTTAAAAGAAACACCCTGTATATGGCACATGAAAATACTATTATTTTATGTTTGGAAATAATATTATGTTTCTTTGATTTTTTATTAATATACCGAATATTTTCTTTAGGTAAAACGTTGTAAACTAAGAAAACAAGGGTTGGACATGATTAAACACCTTTTAAATTCCAATTTTATTCTAAATTCCGTGAGATATTCCATAATAAACGGCTATTTGGGATTAGATAAGGCCGACGAGTACATGTGTCACTGTTTAGATGAAGTAAAGCTTGTAACTCCGTTTTTGAAGACTGAATTGCTTTTTTCCCAACTTGGCATTACTGAATGGTGTATCGATACTTTACGCCAGTACATACTAAGAGACATTCCAAGCAAAAGCGGCAAAACCAAGGGTACCAATGCTAAGGTAAATTTAAATTTGGGAACGTACACACTTTTAAGGGATATACCTAGGGCCAGAATGCTTTTGGCCATTATAGGTATCCTTTCATCGAATATGCGTTACAACGCGATGGAGTTAAGCCCGTTGGTAAACAGCGGCGTAATCAGTTCGGTTTTGGCATTGCTGAAACAAGCCGGTTGCGATCAAAGTATCGTTCGTAAGGTTTCGGAATTTTATGTTCTATACGCCGATATGATCGAAAACAACAAACCCAGATTTGCTTTCGTAACCGGTCCAGAACTTGCCAGTTTAATGAAGTTAGGTACCAGGGTTGTTAGAGGTGCGGACTGGAAATGGGGAGATCAGGACGGGAATCCCCCAGGTGAAGGTAGAGTTATCGGAGAACTGGGAGATGACGGATGGGTTCGTGTAGAATGGACCAATGGTACCACTAATAGTTATAGGATGGGCATTGAAGGTAAATACGATTTGACACTAGCATCTCCGCCCTCCCCTGTAACCTCAGACACTGAAACCGAAGAAACAAGTGATCATGGTATGTTGTTTTTTTAATACCTTTTTATAATGTTTTAATTATTCTATTTACAGCTTCTCAACTAATAAAAGACAATCAATTGATCAAACTCTTACGAAACTCAAGTATTAATTTCCTTCGAATACTCGCTATAAGTGCAGGTGTCTCCAAAGGCAATCTTCATCAAACGACCGTACATGGTATAAGTAGTCTTTTTTGTTCAACTTTGACCTTTGGTAATTCAGAATGGTGCAATTTAACTTTAGTCAGAAGCATCGCTCAGAATCAGCAGCTTTGCTTGGCTTTTAGTACCAAACCGTGGATTAACATGCTGTTAGAATTCCTATCGGTTAATTCTCCATCCAGCGGCAATGAAGTGAATCTACCAAAACAAGTAAAGTAATAAATATTAATCTTCAAAAAATTGCAATTCATTCGATTTTAGATTTTGACTGTGCGTCTCTTACAAACCGTACTTCATATGTGGGATATGGACAACTCCGAAATTCCAAACATTCTAGAAAAACTCCTAACCATTTTAGGGAAAATAATACTTACTTGTTCTTACGATACCGGCAACAAACCACTATCTACCGCAAAATCTCTTGTACTGTTAACTCAGTCCCACAGCAGCACATTGGCCCAAGAGATCATTAGTCTTTTGAGGCACCTACACGGTCTTGTTGGATGGAATCAATATTTAAACGCGATGCTTGTGCAAAAACTTAGTATTGCCACTTACTTTTTAAGTGACGCGTGTCTTGTAAATATGATGAACGACAGTTTAACGCCCGATCAACAACACTACATGGTTCTTGCTTGTCTCAATATTATTGGTAAGTTTTTTTAAAGTCCTTTTGAATAGAATTTAATTTATGTTGTTTAGGTGCTTGGGATGACAGACCAAGAACTGGAGCAATTGCTGAAGTGGAAAGTCTTCAAGGAACAGTAATAAGAGTTACTCCTAAAGGGAAATTATGCTTGCAAATCCACGAAACCGGAGAACTTAAGAAAGTCCCACTAAACGGCATAAAGCTAATACCTCCGGTCGAATTTAATTTTGATCGGATGCTACTGGGCGATAATTTTGTCAAAACTTGGGCTAACTTATTATTAATTCGACAAAGTCCCTTCAATAATCACGATAGAAAATCGTTCCATGGACAAGTTAATGCTGGCTATTTGAGAACGCAACAAAACATTCTTGGCGCGTTAAACGCTACCAGAATATTACATACTAATCAGTACAAACTGAGAAAGATTCTCAGACAACCTTTTAATGGAATGGATCAATCGCAAGAGCATCAATCGATCGAAGAAGAGCTCAACCAACAACCGGTTATGTTGGTACAAAAATTGTTAAGCAAAGCCACCCAGCCCAGCCCCCTTAAACCCGGATTCACGTTGCAAGAAATGCAACTGGCAGCGTTAAACCTTAGTCAGTATCTTGCTTCCGAAGGCAACTTTGAAACGCCAACTACGATCACAAACGAAAAACCCAACCAGGCCAGATCAAGCACAAGCAGATGTGCACCCAGCGAGGTTGTCACGCCGAACAGCGAATGCTCGTTGAAAAGCGTGGTCGACGAAAAGGTGAAAAAGCAAAGCGAACTTGACGAGGATATTTCCACGCATCCCATAGTCACTCAGATCGTCGAGATGGGCTTCACGAAACGCGCCGTTGAGAACGCCATGAAGTCCCTAGCCATCGGACCCGAGTCCCTTGTAACTCCGGAAACCATCGTCGGCTGGTTATTGGAACATCCGGATTATGTGGCCGACGACAGCGATTCTGTTAGTTCTGCGTACGACAGTGATTCCGAGTCGTTATCATACGATAATGCCATGAACGCCCAGGCTCTAGCCCCATACGTAAGTTAAAGTTTAAGCATAAAAAATGCACAAAAAGAATTAATAAATAACGTTCAAAGTGGCTTGCAAGAGAATGGCTTTAAATTGTTTCTATTTAATTTTGGTTGAACCTTCTGGCTCTGATCCAGTCCCAAAACTCTCTCCAAAACTCTTTATAATCTTAAGTCTTGCATCCATTTTTTCGAGCGCCAATGAACCATAACCTTTTAACTAAAATACGTTTTTAAGGCCGACGATCCAAATAATTCCAGACCGCAAACATACTGCAGACGATCTCAATTTTTATCCAACGACGAATACGCAATGTATGTGCGTGACAACGTAGAAGTTGGAATGCTGGTGCGTTGCTGCAAAAGTTACGAAGAAGTTCAATTGGGCGACATAGGAAAAGTAAATAAAATAGACAGAGAGGGACTACATGATTTAAACTTACAGGTAATTTTTTTAATCTTATTTTTATGGACAATCGAGAATATCGTACTTAATCAAGTTATTTGTACCATTCACTAGTTATGCTATCCAAATAGAATTTTTCTCCATTTTATACAGGGTTGGTTGAATTCGTCCAAGTGGACAAAATTGGACAAAATCAATTAAACACAAATTTTATACAGGGTTGGTGGAATTCGTCCAAGTGGACAAAATTGGACAAAATCAATTAAACACAAATGAAATTCAAAAAAACCTTAATAATTATATTAGAGTGTCAAAAACAACTTAAACATTTGGGTGCTTGACTAGCCATTGTTATCTTATTTAAATTTAACATTAGCAAATAAGTCAACAATCTAAAATAATGTACATTTAACTTTTAAACAAAACCCTACCAAGTTTAGAGTTTAAAGTTCAGATGTACATTTACATAACATACAAGATACAGTCCGCGCGTTATAACTTGGCGAGAACGCCCTATGCTCAGTTGACGTAATTTCGTAATGGTACCGCCCTTCAAGTTCAGTTTAACACGTGTTTGTTTAATTTATTGTATTATAAATTGCATCGTATCGCAAAAAGATTACTAGTTTAAAAAATATATAAATTAAAAAAGTGAAGGTTCAAAGTAGTATAATTAACCTTATAATTATATAAATACATACAATATGATTTACCTGTATAAAATGCAATTTTTAAGTAAAGGTAACAAACCAGTATAGTTTTAAAAGGTATAACTATACCTAAATACGTATATAAAATTGCGGAAGAAGAATTTTCTAAAAATATCGCAAGATACCACGCAATATCTATGGAAGATAAATATCTTGACCGGGAAATAGTGTTGGATGATCATGTAGAACCATTTTTAATTAATCTAGATTCAGATGATAGTAGCGATGACGACAGTTTTTTAGAAGAATATTAATTAATTAATATTTAAGTAATTGTACCAATGAATGTTTTATTCATACCGGGATAAAAAGTATCTACAATATTAAACCTAAATATATATATATTTAATAATTACAATATATTTTGTTAATTTCAAAATTTAATCTTAATCTTCGACGCCGCTGGTAGGCAGTAAACAAGTGCCAACGGCTACGCCCACATGCGTCGAGGTTCGCCAAGTTATAACGCGCGGACTGTACATGAAGTTTAAAAAAACAGACACACTCAAGACTACAGCACAAGCAAAAGGCGGATCTAAATATGTTCTTTTCGCATTAAATCTGATGAATTATTAAAGAAAACATTCCAAATTATTATGTGCGACAAAAAATTAGAAGAAACGCGTAATTTTTAAGTTAATTAGGCTTCAAAATATGTACTCAAGTGAACTGAATGACTATTGTGTCTATTGACTATAATATACGAAAAAAAAACTGTCAATCTGTCAACCGTTTTGCCACGTTGTGATTAAAGATTATTTATCAATTAATAGGAACTAATAATTTAAAAAATCAATTAGTGTTTCGTCCCCACTTATTTTTAATTACCTTTTATTTATAATTGCATTACCAAATTATCAATACCTATGTTTAATAAGGTTTAATATAACCGTTGGTTAAATTGAAATAATAAAATTGGTTTCAAACAGCAACGGAAAACAATATGGTTTAATTCAACCGTTGGTTATATTAAAATATAAAATTGGTTTATAACAAGCAAGGGAAAAGATTATGTAATTTAAAAAACAAAACAAGTATTTAGTACGACAAAATTTGAACATAAAATTACATATAGGGCCGAATTGCGAACTTGCGGAAAAATCGCTTGATCACAGCCCCAGTGACATACTCCGTCGCGAAGTCAACACAAAACGCCCGCGGAAGCTCTTTTCGAAGAAATGCCTCCTCATGCACTGGATGGCGGATGGGGATGTCCTGCTGTTCTTCAAAGAAGTGTCGCAGCGTGCTCAACGGCCCTTCCGCCACGTCCTCCTCTCAGTTGGCTCCAATTCCGCGTGGTAAAGTGAAACTGCTGACCATCAAGGACTTAAAAGTATTCAGAAAGGACGTACAAGTTGGTTTTGCACCTGCATGGTTTCTAATTTGCCCGTACAAGTTTTCCAAGGGGTCTTGGTTAAAACCCCTTGGAGATACAAAGTCTAATCTGTGTGTTGGGGACGTCAAAAGTTTTTGTGATAAATAAATGAAACCATGCACCGTTGAAATCCAATTGTGCAAGGATGGGGGATAGGCGCGTTGGCGGGGACAGTCGGCAACAAAGGACATAGATCGTAGGCGAGAAAGTGCGGAAGTCCAGAAGGGTATATGGCCAGAGTTGCGCCTCACCACACATAAAAGAGGTTTTCCAGGAGGAGGATGTAAAATTTGTCCATTAACGTCTGTCGACTGTCGAACAGTTGGTCGAAGAACCGCAGAAGTTCGGAAGTATCCAATGCTTGTGTATCTACATAAGAAGGGTGCAAGGGATCCAAATTTGCTTCGATCGCGTTTTGGTCTAGATGGTGCATGACAGCAGACAACGTATGACTGAAAACTTGTGCGGCCATGCGGACGTTCATTTTCCGGATTCTGGACGGATACCCCCCTGACGGTGTTCCATTAGGCTCCTCACCGCTGCTTGATTGGTGGCTCCTTAGTCACATATTGTTGCAATAACTACTAGTCCAACGGCTTGCATTTCTGTAATAATCCTTTTTATTAGGCCTGCCAAGTTAATGGTGGATGTGGTCCCTTCACAGAATCCAAAATAGTACAGGCTGTTTCCAAGCCTGACGAATGTCCTTTGCAATGAACACTAGACCATGATCTGCAAATCTACTCTCTCGCATGCCCTCACCTAGGTCCACAAATCCCTCCACTAATCGTCGATTATAGCAGAGGAATGGCTGAAACGCAACCTCGTCAAACATGAGCAAACATAATCGGTCTTCAATTTTCTTCTTCTTCTCCACACCACGAAAATATTGTTTATGCCCGGCAGGGTAACCGAATTTAACAATTTCCTGACAGTGCGTGCGGTAGGTAAGCAGAAAAACCGGCACAGAAAGCGATACGTCCGCAGACTTCGTCAACAGATGTCCCCGGGACGGTTTGGCAGCATTCCGCAATTTGCTTGGCAAATAAATCGAGGGGCATATCTGATAACGCCTCTAACAATTCTAAAAATCCTGTCCTTGCCTGCACTGCGTCAACGAGAATTTTGACGCTTGTAGTTCTTTTGCCATTCGTGTGGCAGTCACTGCATCGCTCGCAAGCATAGCCGCATCTATTAAGAAAGAAAACGCTCCATATCAAAAATTAAAAACGTATTGTTGGGTGTAAGGTTAAACTAAGTTTATACTTGAAATATTTAAACATAATCGACCTTTCTACGCCTTCGTAATTTAGAGTTCGTTAAGTGTTAAATAAGATAGACTACCTGAGTTGCTAAGTTGTCGCACGGGTACCTCTTCGGACGGCCTTTTGTGGTCTTGCTTGTGGGCAGACTACAATCACTTCTGTTGGTTATCGTCTGAAAATATTATTCAATTATTACAGAACTAGCGCATTAAGAAAAACCGTGAGGTTCATCACTAAAGATAATTTTTTTAATGAAATTCAGGATTTTCTTCAAACTTTTGAAGAACAAAATTGGAGAAGTTTCAGCGTTTTAAATGATCCAGAGGTTTCAGTTCTTGGGTTACTTGATCTTGTAAGGGTGTAGCTTAAGATCTTGCTGTTACGACCGGTGCGTTGTCTCACTGGCACATGAACATTCAATAGTGAATATGTTGATTTAAATTTATTCACCATCGCACGCACAGCTTGTCTGGTGGGACAATTATTGCGACCAAAAATTGGACTAAGCGCTCTTAAGTTGCAACTATCGAATCAGAATTTCGCTAATAAGTTTTAACGATTTACAAACGTTGCTTGTTTGTAAACTTCACCATGATAAAAATGTAAACTTTGACTGACGTTTTAACATTGAAAGATCATTAAAAGTTTGTAGGTTATGTTCCGTATTATAAAACAAAAATGTTATATCCCTATTGAAAAACCCTTTATTATAAATTTATATTGGCAAAAAGATCTCAGTCATTAGCCCTTTGGTTTTTTTCAATAAATATATTTACTACTACTACAATAATACCTAATAATTACCTCTTAAAAGTGGCGGCATTCGAGAAAACTGTATTTTTGCTGGCACCGTGTAAAGGAAATTATCGCAAACAGTACCAGTTGGGGTATAATCTAAAACAAATAAAGTACCTTAATTAGTCCGGTCAATCTAGACATTCGAAGGTACATAAATTTACAACAAGCTGAAAATCAGTAAAATTGTTCAGAATATAATTATAAATAAAATTTTAAAGTTCCCCATAATTCCCCTGTATGGAAAAATTTTTATTCAAGGTCAAAGGTCAAATAAATGATTTTTCGCGATTTTCGGCAAAACGGTAAATTTTATCATAAAATACTTCAGACAAATATTGTAGATCATAAAATTATCTATAAAAAATGTATCAATACTTTTTTTTCTACGAGCCACCGTTTCTGAGATATAACGATTCGAAAAGTTGTAAAAGTTATAATCGTCATAATATGCACACGTTTCCACGCCACCTATTAGGTAGTGTACTTAGCGCGTTTTTTAACGTGGTTTCCCCAGTAGCCTATTCCACGGGTCAGTTGTGATCCTGTTTAATTTGAAACTATTGCAAAATAACGGAAATTAGCAATGATTGGAAAAGATAAAAGCGATGTAAATTTAAAAAAAGTACTGAAGTTAATTAGTCTGATTCGTAACATTTAAATTCTTCTTCTTATTCTTCTACTTGTTCTTGTTCTTCTTCTTCTTCATCTTCATCCTGGGTACAAGTAAATTGCGTCAGTAGCGATGTATCGCATGTCACCTCGTTGGAAATAAATGAATCCTCCACTGTTGGTGATTCAACATTAGAGCACGACTGGCCTTGACAATTCGTACATACCAGAGAATAAAACAGTCCGACTTTTTTGCAACCACATTTAGCACTGCATCCCTTTTTGCAGTTGCAAAAAATTGTGTTTAGCATTTTTTCCGGCGCAGGTGGGAGTAAAGTTTGAACTGGTTCTAATGGGTTGTTGACCAACTTTCAACCCCAGTCTGTAGGGTCTAGCTGATAACCAAGCCACACTTGAACTTGGTAATATACCCGAAAAATATTTTGATGAGCAGCAGGTTGGAGGAAGACAAGCTAATTGAACTTGTTTTTTATTTTAGTATTTTTAACGAAACATGCATATCGACACTTATCAAAGCAGGTAGTTTTTTTAGGAGCTCCGTATATAGAAAGAAGAAATCGAATGCCGTTGGTGATAACTTCTTGTCCCGAAGCACCTTTTCCTCGAGTTTGGCCGAAAAATCTCCGCTCGTTCGAAAGTTAAGCGAAGACAACGGAACGTGCCAAATTTGACGGAAAAATCGAAAAAAAGTGGACTTGGGCCTTTTCAACACTGGGTAAAAGACCAAAGTTTGACATACTAAAAGATGAGCTTTATCGAATGAAAACTAATCGACCAGAAGCCCGTTTAATTTTTGTTGTGTATTTAAAAAAGTTAACCAATTAAAATTCCCGAAATCAAATCGATAAGGTGGCAAATGACAGGTGGCATTTGACAGGGTCAAATGACAGGTGACAGATGAGAGGTGACAGATGACAGGTGAGAGATGTCAAGTTGACAGATGACAAATCATCTGTCATCTGTCACTGGGTTTTATTTCACTTGATATTCTTATAGTTATAACTTATGTAGGTATATTTTATATTTTAAGTGTAAGTGAAAATGACCGATAGAAAAATATATTAACATATATTAAAACTCTAGAGATGTATATACGTGACGTACTCATGTATATTATGACGATTACAACTTTTACAACTTTTCGAATCGTTATAACGATATATATCTCAGAAACGGTGGCTCTTAGGAAAAAAAGTATCGATATATTTTTTATAGACAATTTTATGATCTACAATTTTTGTCAGAAATATTTTTGTGATAAAACTTCCCGTTTTGCTAAAAATCGCGAAAAACTAATTTTTTTGACCTTTGACCTTGAATAAATTTTTTTCCATACAGGGGAATGATGGGGAACTTTAAAATTTTATTTATAATTATATTCTGAACAATTTTACTGATTTTCAGCCTGTTGTAAATTTATGTACCTTCACTGTTATTTTTTGGTCTAATTTGACCGGACTATAATTTATTAATGCACCAGGTTTCTAATTTTTCTAGGTATATTTGCCTTTTTTAAATCTTCTTTTAAAGTTTTGCGACAGATGTTATCAAATGCTTGTTTAAAGTCTATAAATAATATATCAAGTCCTATTTTATGTTCGTGAGCTTTCTCTAGTATCTGCATCATGATGTGTATTGGGTCTATAGTTGATTTTCCTTTTATAAATCCATGTTGGTAATCTCCTACTTCTTTTTTTATATATTTCTTGAGCCTGTTGTTTATAATTGTTGTCAATATTTTATATGCTGTATTAAGTAATGTTATGCCCCGGTAATTACTGCAAGAAGTAGTTAACGTACAGTTCGTTTTTCGATAGCGTCAATATGCCACTGTGGCAGGAGCAAAATGTTTAATAAAAAAATAATAAATCATTAATGAGTATATAAATTGAATTATTAATAAAAAAAATCAATAAAATTTTATTTTGTCCAATTTTATCAGTTTTTGTCCAATTTTGACCACGTCATGGGTGGTCAAAAGTAGACAAAAAGACAACCCTGATTTTGTATGGTGTAATTGTTTTTTTGTATGTGTCTAAGTTGTCTCTTTTTCTTTCTTTTGATTCTTTTTGAATTATGTTTACTTTTCTATATATTTTTAAGTACGTTTTACTTGATAATATTTTTTTATTTAGATAAATTGGCAACATAAAGTGAGCACATACTGGGTGCGGTTCATACACGTGGAACTATTAGGTTTCCCACCTTCTCTTCCGACTCCGTCCACCATAAAGGTGGGTGACAAAGTGAGAGTGAAACCGAACATAACAACTCCAAGATACAAATGGGGCTACGTGACCCACGACAGTATTGGCATCGTGACAGGCATCTCTCCAAACGGTCACGATTTAACGGTCGATTTTCCCAAACAACAAAACTGGACTGGGTTCCTTTCCGAAATGGAGATAGTTCCTTCTTGTCATGATGGCGTCGGTTGCGGTGGATGCGGCGTTAACCCCATAAGAGGACCGAGATTTAAGTGTAAAGTTTGCGAGAGCTACGACCACTGCGAAAATTGCTTTTACACCAGAAAAGTTCACAGACATGCATTTAACAGAATTAATGAACCAGGTTTTAATATATTTATTATTTGTTTTTAATAAGTTATGACATTATTTGCTGATCAATCTAATATTTTTGATGATTTTGAGCTTTGATTACAAAAAAAAAATTAGTTGATAAAAGTCGTTTAAATGATTAATTTACAGGAGAGTCAATCCACGTCAAATCATCGAGCTTTTAGGTAAATTTAACCCGGGTCGTCGTTTCTTAACGAAACTCGGTATATCGGCTTTATTTTGTCTCTACCGTTTAGGGATAACGAGTACTATTATTTTAAAAAGTGTGGTTTCATATCCTGTAAACTATTGTAGGTACAGACGTCAGCGACCGCTAATTTTAAAGTTATTAACCTGCAGAATTTATTTTTATATTTTTGGAACGTTTCCGAAAAATTTAAAAATCTGATAAAAAAAATATTTGCCCTGAAACTTTATTGGTAGAAGTTTTTAGTATGAAAGTTGTTATGTTGAATTTAAGAAAGAAAACTTAAAACGTACAAAGGCCTGCGTCATGTGCGTATTCATAACAAGCTAAAGTATGATTTTTTGAATGGTTTTTTTTATATATGGTAATAACTTTAATGAATTTGTCTAAAATTGAAGTAAAAAATGCAATTATGACATAAATTTAACTTCGACTTTGAATAACTTTTGAACTCGTTGGTTTATCGAAAAATGATACGAGACATTTTTTGTAGAGCGTTCAATTTCCCACAAAAATATTTATCGCATATAAATCTGACTTAATTTAATTTGTAAAATTTTTTTGTCATTTTTGCAAAAGAAAGTCCATTGAAAATATCCATTTACGACAATGAATTATTTATAAAGTTAAATTACAAAATTATAATTTTATAAATCGATGTGTCAAATATATCGTTTTATTTGTTAATACATAACCGAATTTGTTTTTTTGCGACCCGGTAGAAGATTCTTACTGAATGAATTATAATAATAGGAATATTTATTATAGGTAATGTATTATATAATTATAATCAGAGTCGAAAATTCACTTTCTTCTTGATACCAGTATACAGATATTTGTAAATTTAAAAAAAAAAATAGTTTTTCATTTTCTTATTACCTTTTGAATAAAATGAAAAGGTCACCGAGGTAAACTTTCGTCCCTGCTATTAGGGACGAAAGTAAGTACGGCTTCGCCTCGGGCATCATGACGCGCAGGGCCGAAAGCAGACTAACCTAAATATGCGTAATCAATAAATTGTGATTGTGAATTTATATTATAAATTGTGATTTTATATTATTAAAACTTTAAATGTGTGTTGCGTGAATACATAATAACCTATATACTAAAATAAAAGTGATACCATGACGAAGAAAAAAACTACTACCATGTGCTTGGTTTGTAATAAACCCCTTGGAAAATCTAAAATTAAAATTCAGTGTCAGCAGTGTAAACTGTGGGCACATCAAGACTGTACAGGGGTCAAAACAGGCTGGACATGTGAATCCTGTAAGGAAGAATCTGAAGACTCTGAAGTGTCAAGTGATGCTGGGGATGGTTCCGATTCGGAAAACGAATCGGGATTTTATATTATTGAAAACTTTAGATTTGTATTGCGTGAATACATAATAACCTATATACTAAAGAATAAAAGTGATACCATGACGAAGAAAATAACCACTACCATGTGCTTGGTTTCTAATAAACCCCTTGAAAAATCTAAAATTAAAATTTAGTGTCAGCAGTGTAAACTGTGGGCACATCAAGACTGTACACTGTACAGTGTACAGGGGTCAAAACAAGCTGGACATGTGAATCCTGTAAGGAAGAATCTGAGGGAGGAAGTGTCAAGTGATGCTGGGGATGGTTCCGAAAAAGTACAAAATATCAGCAAAGAAGAGTCAAAGCCGATATTTAAAGTATCCTTTGTTTCAAAAGCTGAGGAAGATTAATGTCAGCTTACAAAACCAAAAAGGAACTAAAACGTAAAGATGTTGGTCAGACAGGAGAAGAATCAATTTACCTAAATTACGAGATAACTCCAGAGAATCAAATTTTATTTAAGAAAGTCAGGAACCTAAAAAATGAGCTAAAATTCAAGTTTGCTTGGTTCAACTATGGCAAAATAATGCATAGGGAAAAAGAGAATAGTAAGGTGTTTGAAATTGACAAACTACTTGTTGGTGACTTTAACATAAATTTATTCCAAGAAAAATCAAATTCTTACCGATATAAAGAAAAATTATGTATAAGAAACTGCTACATAAAAATGGAATTAATATTGTAAACAATAGATGAGAAATGGGGTACAAAAACAATAATAGACCATGTAATTACTGACCTTCCCCTGACCATCCCACTTAAATTACAAGACCAACACAACACTGATAACAAAATGATATCCTTCAATATTGATGTAAAAAAAATCCATACAACTAAAAATAAGCAAAAACATACATCCAAAATAATAAACTATACAAATCTGGAAAAAAATTTAAAAGACTATACTTAAAATACAAATGTAAGTTTTGAGCAACTTATTAAGATATTATATGAAAATATTGAATGGAATACTGTAAGAAAGGTGAGACACTTTACAAACTCAGTAAAAAAAGGTTGGTTTAAACAGGAAGTATATAAAAAAAATAAAGGAGATGGATGAAATGTATGTAAAGAAGTGAAAAAAGTGAAAAGTGAAAAAACAACACATAGCACATAAATTTGAAAATACAGATGGCAAGCCTAAGAAGCAATGGACCTGTATTAAAGAGTTGATGGGTAAAAATCAGTCTAAAACAAGTTGCTTAAAATTGATTATAAATAAGAAGGAAATAACAGAACCTGAAAAAATTGCTAACGAAACAAATAAATATTTTATAGGTATTGTAAAAAATATAATTAAACCAACAAAAAATAAAGAGTGTACACTAAAATATAAACCAAGCCAATCTCTATACCTACAATATACTACAAAAGAGGAATAAAAAACTGTATCTGTGAAATAGCTTTCAAATGTGCTCGCACCTATGCTTGAAGTATTGATTAACCAACATCTTAAACAAGGAACATTTCCAGATGTCTTAAAAATAGCACGAGTTACACCAATCCATAAGAAAGGCAGTAAAACCGATTTTGAAAACTATAGGCCTATATCTGTGCTCTCAGTGTTTTCAAAAATAGTTGAAATGGTCCTACATAAAAGGCTTCTAAACTTTTTGCAAAAAATTAAATTTTTAAGCTATCGTCAAAATGGGTTTCAACAAAAAAAAGCCCACAAACTGCAATAATAAATCTAACTGAGAATATTTATGAAAATTTAGAACACTAGCTGTATTTCTTGATCTATGTAAAGCCTTTGATGTTGTTGACCCAGATATATTACATAAAAAACTTAACAATTGGAGTTACAAAGAGAGCCCTTAAAATATTTAACAACTACTACCGGACTTTTTTATTCTGGAAGTGAAGAGGAAGTGTTTGGATGGGCTCAAAGCGATCTAAATGCCATTAATGTGTGGACTAAGAAAAACAATATTAAACTTAATGAATCCAAGTGTGATAAAACTATACTTTAACGTTAAATAAGCACATTTAGAATATATTGAAAAGTGCAAAATATTTAGGATCAATTATTAATGATAATCTTAGTTTGTGCCCACATTCAAAGTCTTAAAAATAAAATTGGAAGTTTAAGTTATTACCTGAGAAGAAATGCTTATTTAATAAACAAGAAAACTAAACATTTAATATATAATGCATACATTAACTCCCACTTAATGTATCTTCCAGCTTTTTGGGGGCACGCAAAAAAAGGACTTAAAGAGTTTGCAAGTGACACAAAATAGACTTCTTAAGCTCTTATTTAACAAGCCTTTCCTAACGAGCTCTACATATTTATACAATGAACTAAATGTGTTAAACATTGTTGAGCTAATAATGCTGGATAGTGTCAAAGTGGTGTATAAACTTAGAAAGAACCTAATAGAAACAACTGTAAACCTAACTAAAAACTGTGATAAACATAAACATAAGACGAGGACCAACCAGCATTATCGCATTGCTTCAAATATTACTAAGTTTGGAGAAAGGAGAATAACACAATCTGCTCTCAAAGGGTACAATGAACTTCCTGAGGCAACAAAAAACCAAAGAACAATAAAAACATTTTCGACATCGGTCAAAAACTATTATTAATCTATAAGAAAACTGGGATAACTGCCTGTACCTACTTCCACATATTTATATTTTATATTTTAGTGTTTTTATATAATATTTGTTGAATATTTTTATTTTTCTACTATTGTACCTGCTATGGAATCATGTATTCTTTTTGGGATTAATAAATAAATTTTAAAAAAACTCTTTTTCGACCGGTTAAAAAAACAAAACAGGAAGCGGTGAAGGCTCTCAAATGCAATAAAGTACTCAAAGAGAACCAACTTCACCAAACAGAAGCCCAAAGGAAAATCTTAAAAGATGTCTTGGATGCAGGGTTGGCTGCCCAGTGGGTAACCCAAAAATCCCAGTGAGTTTTTTTTGGGTAGAACCCACTTAAAAATAGCCCGCGGGATTTTTTAAAAGTGGGTTTTTGTCTTAAACTTGAATTCTTCGATATTTTTGTATATTTTTTATATTGTAAAAAGATAAAACATTACATTTTTATGTATTTAAAAAAGTAGTATTTAATTAAAAGCAGTACACTCTATAACTGAGAAACGATCAAACCATTTACCAAACAAAACGTAATTTTAAAGTTCGGGGGTGTCCCCGCCGATCTATACAATTATGCATTTTATAGTTGAACGAATGCGAAAATCGTGAAGCAGAAGGTGATGAATTTTTCTTATCGATTTATCTTTAATGTTTTTTACAAAATCTGTAGGAATTAAAAAACACAATAAAACCCACTTATTAAACCCAAAAAAGGGTTTTATTTAAAAAAAAACGTGTTTTTGCCAACCTTGCTTGGATGAGCAAGAAAAATTTAAGGCAGAAGGAAAAAGTAATTTAATTATCAAGTACATAAATGGAGCACCTAATATTGTTTAAAATGCAGAAAAAATTAAGATTGACCGGGCTAGTTGAGGTATCACTTTGGTATAGTAACCTGAGTTATGTGGTTAATAAAATAGACGAATGGAAAACAAGAATTTCGTCAGCAAATCCTACTTTTATTATGCTTACAGAAACTTGGTTATAAGAAAGCATAGATGAATACAATACATACTGCGAAAATCAAAAGGGGGTGGTGTATGTATTCTTGCCAAAAAATTCATTTAGTGGATATAAAATTTCTAATTTTAAATTAGTACCAGTACTTCAAACTAATGGCTTGATAACCAGTCAAAAAAAAAAAACGGTTTTAAACCAGGGGAAAAACCGGTTGTTATACGGTGGAAAAAAACGGTTTTTAACCGGTCGAAAAAAACCGTTCTTAACCTGTCAAAAATTGATTTAACCGACGGTTTTTATTGAAAGTGTAACCGCGGTTTTCATAGAAAATAAAAACCGGTTAATGCGGATGTTCTTTTAAGATTTAGTTAACGACTTAACGAGTGTACTGCTTTTAATTATATACTTGAGTTTTTAACATACATAAGAATGTGTTTTATTATGTTTATTTTACAAAATGCAAAAATATTAAATGTAAGACCCTACCCATGGGTCTTCGACTTGGTGATTTGACATGGATTGGCCCAGAAATCTTTATAAAATATTTTGTTTGTCACAAAAATATGTTAATGTTAATGTGATAAAACTAAAATTTTCGTAATTTATAATTGCAAATTTAGGTTCTCCTGAGATATACGCTGGTAAACCCGGTCGGTACTATAGACACGACACTTTAGATACGGAAGGAGAACTAATAAGCGAATGGGGTCGATGCGTTAAAAATGTTACCGTATCATCGCAACATGCTGCTAGATTTGAAATTCCTGGGTCGTTGTGGCAAAGTTTAGGAACTCAAGGAAAAGTATTTAGATGGAAATTATAAATAAATTAAGATAATTATTTTCTGTGTTTCTAGCATTGGATTCGACTGGAAATTTCTTCAGATGTTATAATAAAAAATCTACGAATGGGTGTAGATCCAGCCGATAACAGCTACACGCCTTCTCTAATTATTGTGAACGGTGGAAACTCGGTAAAGTCTCTTCAAGAATTGAGCGTCATTAATGTGAAATCCCAAGATACATCTGTCAATTTATTATCCAATCTGGACAAATATTATCCCGTCATTGAAATAAATATTGTTAAATGTAGAAATAGTGGCATTGATTGTAAAGTACATGGCATGTCCATATTGGGCATAAAAAAACATTCGTTCGGGGAATTAAAAACATCGGTTTCCTTTCTGGCTAACGATTGGGATTTAAATCAGGACCATAACATGGGCCCCTGTTTGGTATCAATGTGTAAGTAACCAATCATTTAATTTGAACAATTAAATGTTTAGGTATTTTTTTAGCCCAAGACCTAAACGATGATTATTCGTCAACACCATCTAGCAGCTGCAGAGTATTCGTCTGGGGTCTAAACGACAAAGATCAGCTTGGGGGTATGAAAGGCTCCAAAGTTAAACTTCCTGTGCACTCTGACTTTCTAAGCCATTTAAGACCAATACATATCGCAGGCGGATCTAAGTCATTGTTTATAGTTTCACAAGAAGGAAAGGTAAAAATACATATAAAACATGCATATAGAGGACTTTATTTATGAAACCTTTTAGCTGTTTGCTTGTGGCGAAGGTACAAATGGTCGCTTAGGTTTGGGTCACAACAATAACGTACCCGCACCAAGACTTATACCATTTTTAAGTCAATACGTCATCAAAAAAGTTGCCGTACATTCGGGTGGTAAACACGCGATGGCGCTTACGTTGGACGGGAAGGTGTTCTCATGGGGAGAAGGCGAAGATGGTAAGTTAGGTCACGGCAACAGACTGAACTTGGATAAACCAAAAATGGTGGAGACGTTGAGAAGCAAAAAAATCCGGGACATTGCGTGTGGGAGTTCGCATTCTGCAGCCATCACTAGCAGCGGGGAACTGTACACGTGGGGATTGGGCGAGTATGGTCGTTTGGGACACGGCGACATCGTCACACAACTAAAACCCAAACAGGTTAAAGCTTTAATTGGGCATCGCATTGTTCAAGTCGCTTGCGGAAGTCGCGATGCTCAAACGTTGGCGTTATCAGACGACGGAATGGTGTTTTCTTGGGGCGACGGTGATTTCGGAAAACTCGGTCGGGGCGGATCGGAAGGCTGCACAACTCCGAACAACGTCGAAAGATTAAACAACCTGGGAGTGATACAGATTGAATGTGGCGCTCAGTTTTCTTTGGCTCTCACCAAGGCCGGTGAAGTTTGGACCTGGGGAAAAGGGGACTACTTTAGACTTGGACATGGGTCAGATCAACACGTTAGAAAACCGACTGTAATCGAATCCTTGAAAGACAAAAAAGTTATACATGTGGCCGTGGGGGCTCTTCATTGTTTGGCGGTGACTGACACAGGACAAGTGTTTGCATGGGGCGATAATGATCATGGCCAACAAGGAAATGGCACAACCTTGGTAAACAGAAAACCTGCATTGGTTCATGGCTTAGAAGATGTGCATGTAAATAGGGTTGCCTGTGGAAGTTCACATTCTATAGCTTGGACCCTGCATGACACTCAAACTGTGTCGAAAATCGAACCAGTAATATTTCCGGTGGCCAAAGATCCTCTAGGGGCATCGATTTTGGGATTGTATGATGGAGAAAAAGTCACCAACAGGATGCCAAATAAAAACGCACCGACATTAAGCAGTATTGTTATGTCATTGGAAAGCAATACGGCAAAACAACAAGCTTTGCAGCATATTTTAAATGCTATGCATATTCAACAACTTCGGCAAGCTTTGGTTAAGGCACTTTGCAGCCACACAAACATTAAAAATAACATAAGCAAGGTAATAAATTTATTAATGCGTCTTTCCATCTCAAATCGACCAGGCAAAAAGGGGTGGGTCGTTATTTTTTAACGATTTTTTTTTTTTAGTTTCTCTACCAAAATCGATGAGACCCGTATTTTTTCTCTTTGCTTAAATTTGTTTTGTGAGCACCCTTAAATTTTTGGAAAATGGACAGAAACATCGATTTTTCCCTTTTTATCGGTGACATTGTTTCTTAAAAATGCAAAAATTGTTTCGATCGTTACAATTTTTGCTTAATTGTAGGTAAATGTTTACTACATACAATAAAAATATAAAAAATTAACTGAATTCACTCATTTTTTTAAATTGCTTTTTTCTAAGTAGGCAAAACAATTTTAGGTCAAAATTTTGACCATTGCCACATTTTTTTTTACTTCATATTTTTTTGTTTGAAGTTGATATTATGAACACAAAAAGTCCCGAGTTGGCTAAATTCGGGGTTTCGGAATTATTATTTTTCTAATGAAAATGCCATTTTCTATTAAATTCGTGCTTCATCGCAAAAATTTGGTATTTTATCTAGGGTCATGAAACTGGGGTGACCTTTATAAAGTGTAATTTAGAACTTTTTGACATATTTAACATATTTTTGTCATTTCTGGTTTCACCACAAATGCTCTTAAGTAAGTAAATTAAATTATTAAAGATTTTAGAGTAAAATGTAAATTCTTAATATTTTTGCATGTGTTACTGTTAAAAGATGTAAAAAGTATGCGTACTTGTAAGTTCATTTTGGTTAAAATAATAAAAAGTAAGTAATACATGCCTAAAAAATCGGCAAATAAATCGAATTCACAAGAAACTTATAAAAACGCGATTTCAAAGAAATGTAGAACAAACAATTCCGAAAAATTTTGGTCGGTTAACAGATATTTTTTACGACTAATACTCTCTCAGGAAGGGAAATAATTATTAACCCTAGAGGTCCAATACAAATTAATAATAATAATGCTTTATTGAACTAAAACCAAGTTCAAAGGCTATTGACCGTAGTCCTTCAGCCTAATACAAATTATTATTTCATATTTCGTTTTTTGATTTATTGCCAGAGATTCCCTACAATGGCCACACTATGGGGCGGTTAGATATACTTTTTTTTAATCGTTTCAAAATATTTGAATGATTTTATTTAGTAGTTTTAAAATAAAAAATGTTGAGCAATTACTTACACCCCTTTGATTCTAACCAACTGAATTATTATTTTTATTTAATTTTATTAAAAGTTTTGGCGTATTTTTTTATTTTAAAATAAAATGTTAATATTTACTTACCAGCAAAACAAAATAACGAACTGTCAAATCTGATACTTCTTTTAAACACAAAAGTTTTACAGCCTTTCTCAGTATTTACTTCTGTACACACTTTAAACCCAAATAAACATTCAAATTTAATTAAGAGTTTGGAAGCGATATTGGTATCAAATTTAAAAAAAGTGGATTTCTTTTATGACCAACGAACCACCTTCTTTTATAAAAAATAGTTTTGGTATAAAGTATGGTTTTTCAATTTTTGAAAGCTCCTTAAACCAGCATTGCAGAAAAAGAATAAAATTTTATTTTTTCCAGACTACTAGGCCCAACTTGAAGCAGAAAAGCCAATTCAAGGCACTCTAGATATAGAAATAAAATTCAATCAAAAACTGATTTGATCTTTCAAAAATTCAGAATTTTATTTTGATCGAAATAAAAATGCATAGGGTGTTTCATTAAAAAATAAAAGTTAAGACCATTTCCGGTAAAACCGGAAGTAACAAAAATATGTTAAATATGTCAAAAAGTTCTAAATTACACTTTATAAATGTCCCCCAGTTTCATGACCCTATATAAAATACCAAATTTTTGCGGTTAATCGCGAATCACGAATTTACTATAGAAAATGGCATTTTCAATAAAAAAATAATAATTCCGAAACGATGAATTTAGCCAACTCGGAACTTTTTGTGAAAGTTGTTCATATTATCAACTTCAAAAAAAAAATATGAAGTAAAAAATAAATGTGGCAATGGGCAAAATTTTGACCTCAATTTTTTTTGCCTTTTTTAGAAAAAACAATTAAAAAAAATTATCAAATTCACTTATTTTTTTGTATGTAGTAAACCAATTCAAAAAAAATTGTAACGAAACATTTTTGGCCAAGCATTTTTAAGAAAAAACGTCACTCGTAAAAAGGGAAAAATCAATGTCCATTTTTCAAAAATTTCCTACTGGACAACAAAACAAATTTAAGCAAAAAGAAAAAACATGGGTCTCATTGCAATCATGATTTCGGTAGAGAAACTGTCAAAAAAAATTTCGTTAAAAAATAACGACCTACCTTTTGCCTGGTCGATCTGAGAAGGAAAGGCCCTAATGCAATTAATTTAGAATGTGTTTATTTGATGTTTTATTATAATAGCCAACTGGTACACCTGATACACCCATTTCAACCCTGCCAAATAAAGATGTTGAAATCGCTTTTGGAGGTGGTGAAGCTCCGGTTTCTCTTGCTGAAATTGCAGGAATAAACGTAAGCGTAAATCCATAGAGTTTCTTAAAATCTCTTTATAAAATTCATTTTAGTCCCCCAACCCGACATCCCCGGACACGGAAGAAAATCCGATGGCATTAATTCAATCGATGACTGCTAGTAGTTGTTCGGCTAGTATGAGCTCAAAGCATTCCCGAATGTCCACTAGCGCCATGTCAGTTATTGCGGCCACCCTGACGTCGCACGCCGAAGTGATAGGCGAAGGGGGAGTTTCCTTGCTTGACGAGTTTACATCGCTTCTAAACGAAAATGATGCTAGATTACTTGTGGACTTGTTGAAACTAGCCGTTGCAGATAGAATTGAAGACGACCAAGCGAAAGACATTTTGTCTTCGGTATTGATAAGTGAGTTTTAATTTAAATTAGCTTAATATTTTTTACTAATTGAAAGGGCCAAATGCAAGAAGTGCCTTAGTCATAAATAGGTGATTCTGAGATATACTGGTTTGAAGGTTTACTTTTGTTTATGAAATATTGCACAAAATATTATGATCAAAATGTGTGTTGTATTGTATTCCTGGTAGAAAGTGGATTTGACTTCCATGATTAAAAAAGAAAAAACGTTTTTGTTATATCCAAAAAATATATATAATAATTTGGGACTCAAGCACTTTTTGTGTTGAAATTTTTTTGTTTTGTCAAAAATTTGTTTACACTTAAAAAAGTAATAAATACATAATGTGAGAAGAAAACTTAAGACCACATAAACATAATATGAATGACAAAAAACGCTTTAAGAAAAAGATTACAACATGATAAGTAAAACTTAACTTAAAGCCAAACTAAGAACATAATTAGAAGGCTGGCTAATCATAAACAGCTTCGTCCTCTTGTAACTGATCAAAATCTTCATCATTGGCATCATTTTGCTGAATTATACTTCCATTTGCGACAAGGTTCAAATAAAAAATTCAGTGTCCAATGATTGAATGTGCTTTACAAGATGGGTTACGTTCTTAAATTTCAACTGCTTAATTTTTAGATTGGTTCCATGTAAATGGGATTGCTAAGGTTGTGAGCTTAGGATGAAGTCAATGTAAGATAAGAATAACAAAATAAATTATACATATATCCATTGTAAAAACGGTTAGAGTGATATTAATATCTCATGGCGGTTAGAGTGATATTAATATCTCATGGCGGTTGACCTAGAGAGTTCTACGAGAGGCGGTGCAATTTAATAAATGGAAACTAAAAACATACGCTGCAAATCTGTCATCTGTCAACTAATACAGTAAAGCGTTTTTTCTTTATTTTATAAAATATATTATAACATTATTAGATAATGACTGAAATTGAAGCCCTGCTGCAAAAAGAAGGTAACTCCATAAAAGTTATTTTTGAGTCGTCTTTACACCAAACAATGCAGAATAGTCTAGTTTGCTGTGTAAAAGTCACTTTCGTAAAAGTTACCCCTTTTTGCAGCATGACTTTAATTGTTGTTCAATAGTCTGTAAAATAAAAACTGGATTTAAGTAAAAAAAAATGAATTTTGCTGTAAAAATAGAAAGATTTTTTATTATTTCATATTTTTATCATCATCCTCATCTGATGACAAATAAGTACATTCAGACTGAATTATTATTATTAACCCCTATAATAAGTTCATGAACGTCGTCGATAAAAAGTTCTCTTAAAATATACCCCTCCTCAGTTTTTGCCACTTTTCCAGTAAAATGGGGGCAATTAATATTGACAGCTTCAAAAGGGCTTTTAAAGTTGGTCGTTGTTTATGTGTTGGCGAAAATCTATAGATAATAGTTCCTAACATTTCTTCATCAAACTCATCCACTGTTGTCTTGGGACTTGGTTTATTAATAGTTTTTCATGGCGAAGTAAATTTCTTGTCGACTGGTTTGGTTTCACCCTCTTTGACAATTCTTTGCACCATCCTCAAAGAAACACCAGTTGCTGCGGCCATCAGCTCTTGTAAATGCCTAAGGTATAACAGGATCTTCACCATCTTCTTTTCAACTCGCGTTTCAAATATTGGAGATCGTTGTAGACGATCTGCCGCCCTTGGCTGTGAATCACTGCTTTTTTTCGTTATTTATTTCGTATAACAAATAATATTTATGTAAACTATATTATAATATTATAACAAATATATTAGAATTTCTAGCCTAGAAATGTCTAAATCATAGATGACCGAAGGTCTAAATATGTCAATAAATATAAGAATTGCCAACCCTAGGGTAGTATGTTTTTAGGACGGCGAGTAATAGCGCGATTTGAAGGATTTGAGACTTCTGCGCACCCACCATGAGATTAATTGCACTCTAGCATGGCTGTGTTCCGTAATTTACTGCCATTACTGTCAGTAGCGGAAAAGGACCGTTCCGTAATTTATTCAGTACTGACGCACAGTGAAATTGGAACGCGCCTCAGTAGCAGCAGAAAGTGACAATGGTTACGCAAGGTTATGATTTGTGATTTACTGACAATTTGACAAACTTTACTTTCGGCACAGCAGAAAATAAAAAATAAATATAACTGTTATAAGAAATATAATGTTTGGTTTATGGCAGAGAAATATGGAAAATTTAATGTTATCGTCGTGCGCGTCGAAAAATGTATATAGGAATAGGAAATATAAAATTTCACTGACACCACAACAATAAGTCAAATACCAAAAATTACTCTTAAATTCGTCCGCTGAATACAAATATATAACATTTTCTAGGTACTACCTATAGGTAGTACTATAGTAGGTAGTTTCATATTCTGGGTCTTCGTATGCGTACTCCCCGCCGACCTGCCTTCGTCACTGCTGCTTGTACTTTCAAGTAATATTTTATCAATAAATATTGAAATAATTAGTCCTATAGGTATTCACAAAATACCATTATATGATATAATTTATATCCTTCACTTTATTTGTAGGTATTTTTTGTTTAAAAGTTTGGTTATGTGTTTTACTGGAGCCACAGCACCTCTCTGTCCCCAGTTGTTTCAGTAAAATTAATCTGCCGTACGTTTATAAAAGGGTAGTATTTACCACTGAGCTCAGTAACTGAAAGTGGATTTCGGAATGCGTTTTCAGTACCGACAGTACTGACACTAAATTACGGAACATAGCCCATGTTGTACAGTATGTTTTAAGGTAAAACAAGCTGTTTTATTCTACTTTACTTACCTGTCATAGTCATGTTTTTATAATCACACACACAAATTATAAGGATTAACACAGCTTAATAGGTAATTTGCTCAGATATTAGTATTTTATCTGTGGATATAACCTAATTTAACTAACGTGGACTAAGGCACATGTTGCATTGCAACTGTCAAAATGATGACTTAGGTACTTTTTGCATTGAAAACCAGGTAAACTCGCATTGAAGTAAAGGCACATATTTCTGCCACTCTGCAAATACCACCTGAAAGCTTACGTGAAACACTCATATAGCGCCACAATGTCAATTTCATTGACCCCTTCAATTTTATTCTTCTTTAAAGCCATGGGCAGTTGCAATAGTTCAATTGGAGCAATGCTCCTAGAACTGTGCGTCACGGAACTTGAAGACACTTCGAATAGCACCCAAACCTTATCAAGTAGCCCTCATCCGGTCGTACAAGAATCTAGTCACCCATACATCGACGATATAACTTTAAGAGGTCACGTGCGACTTCCCGGAGCCGACGCTCTCAGAGTCGAGTTCGATCGAAGATGCTCGACGGAACGGAGGCACGATCCCCTACAAATTACAGATTCCTCGGGAAGAGTGGTGGCCACTAAATCTGGCAGAGAGTGGACCGATTGGTCGTCGGAACTGCGGATTTCAGGCGACGAGCTGAGATGGACCTTTCAAAGCGACAGTTCAGTCAACGGGTGGGGATGGCGGTTTACGGTTTATCCGGTGATCACGAACCGCGGAATCGGTGAAATCGGTTCCGATCGCGCCGTTTTGAGTCAACCATCTATGGACATGGTTGTGTCTCTTTTAGATCCTCGACTGTATCCGGCAGCAGATGCAGCACTCATGTCGCGATTGGCGGCAGCCTTGGCTTCATGTTCACAACTAAGTTTCTTGTGTAAGACTGATTCGTTGAGTTGTATGTAATCTGTTTACTATTGTTTTATTTTTGTAGCTCCTGCGCAACGGATGTGGGCTTTACAGAAGCTTCATAGACTTCTGGTTGAAGACGAGGCCAATGCGGAAGCGGTTACCCAGCAACTCCAGCAACTCAAAGCTCCCGACAGCGCGCTTGGTAGTTTGCTCGAAGAATTACCACAAGCTCTCCTGAGACAATATGAATACGAGGATGGTTCCGTTCGAGCCGGTTTGCATCTTATGCATTCCGACTTTTTCAAAGTGTTGGTGGCTTTGGCTGCTGATTTGGAACTAGATAAAATGATCAGTCTCGCAGACAACCACAAATGGTCCTGGTTTAGACGTTACTGCCATGCTGCAAGAGTTTCAAAAGCTCTTATACACAGAACTCCACTTCCGATGAGTTTTTGCGAGGAGGTCCGTAAAAAATTAACAGACCACATGGAAGAACGCACTGGCGAACATCACGATCACGAGAAACACACAATTTTCAAGAAGGAACACGACGAGCAACTGCTTATATGGTTAAATAGACGTCCGGAAGATTGGACCTTGTCATGGGGCGGATCTGGAACAATTTACGGTTGGGGGCACAATCATAGGGGCCAGCTTGGCGGCGTGGAAGGTGCCAAAGTAAAACAACCCTCTTCCTGTGAGGCGCTGTCTAGTCTGCGACCGAGCCAGTTGCTGGGCGGCGAACAGACCCTATTTGCCGTCACTACGGACGGAAAGGTGTACGCAACTGGATATGGCGCTGGCGGCCGATTAGGTATCGGCGGTACCGATTCCGTGTTGGTGCCGACCTTGCTCGAATCGATTCAACACGTGTTTGTGAAAAAGATCGCCGTTAACTCGGGGGGAAAGCACTGTTTGGGTCTCTCGTCAGACAACGACGTCTACTCTTGGGGAGAAGGCGACGACGGCAAGTTGGGACACGGCAACAGAACGTAAGTCTTTTTTAATATAACCTTTGCAATTTTTATATATCGGGATAGTTTAACTCATTTTCTGACACACTTTTAAATGTATTTGTGCTAGAGAGTCATTCTCAATAATTAATTAAATACGTAAATTTGAGTTGAGTATTACATGTTTTCCAATATGGCAACCTAAAAATTGTGAAGTTTGGTCGTATGTCGTGTTAAATTCAAGCCTGACACTAATGTGACGGTCGGGACATGCACAATGTGAATTGCACATACACACCTACCGCTGATTAGTTTACAGGGTGCGCCAAGTAATATTTTACGTGTATTATACTATTATAATAATTGAATCAGTGAGAATAAGAACAGTACAAGTCCAAGCATTTTATTTTGACAAGCCATTTTCTAAAATCAATTTTTAAGTTCAAAAAACATCTTTGTGAGAAGATATAAATCATTTTTTCTACACCCACCTTTAAAAAACTTGTTTCCATGATACTAAGTGACCTTTTAAATACACAATGACAAGTTGTGGCTTTATGGCGTTTTAGTCACGGGCTGAAGTTAGTGCCCAGCCATTTAAGCAATATTTTCAAAAATATGCAAAAAAAGTCGAAAAAATGACCTACAGACCTAATACAATTAATATGAGTCAAGTTATAATAAAGTGGTCACAGAGTCTTTCAAAAAGCGTCAAATACACTATAAATACCAATATTTATTAACGCGGTAGCTGGAAACCTGGTTAAGCTATAGAAAATTAAAAAAACTAGGCTTGAAATACATGTATTTTAAATGGGTAAAATTCAAAATACAAAAGGAAGTACTTACAGTTAAAATTAAGGGCTCAAATTTTCAGGGATTTTTTTTTAGTGTACAGAACAATATTTCATGGTGTCAGCAAGGAAAAAAAAACTTTGTTTTAAATGAAACACCGTAACCCTGCATACTACATCAAAATTCAGACAATTACAAAGATTTTCTTTTTTATTGTTAAGATTAACTCGTAAGAAGCTAACAATTATTTATATAAATTTTATATATATATTTTATAATAATAGTTTATGGGTAAGGCTTCCTAAAGTGGACCCTGAATTTACCAAGGGTCAGAATTTTATTAAAAAATATTCACTTGTTTATTTTTTATAAACAATCAACTTTATCAACAGTACTTTTATTTTAAAAAATTACTCTGCAATGCGTTGTTTAAAGTGATTTTTTTTTTTTGTAAATTAATAATACATTTTTCTACAATACTTTCCTTTTATCTTTTAAAAAATACTACATTTAAAGTAAAAAAAAAGTTAATTAAAGAACTTATGCCTTGGAAATTATAAAATAAAAAATTGGTAGATTGAAGTTGCTTTCCCTTCCTTTTGTGGATTTTAGGTTTCAAATTATTCAATGATTAATCAATAGATTTTTAACTTTAAATTACTGCATTTTATTTATTATTTATTTATCATTTTAATATTTTAAAAAAAAATTAATTTTTTTATTATGTTATAACTATTAACTATAGTGATGCAACGAATACGAATATTCGTATTCGCCGAATAGTAGACAGGATCTACTAGACACTTACCGTATATTCGTATTCGGCGAATAATATCACGAATATTATAAAAAATACTTTTACCACCATGTGTAATAAATAATCACAAAGATTTAAAAAAAATTGAACGCTACTTCGTTTAACTGTAGCGTGTCACACGGTCCTTGTGTACCCGAACACTTTACACGCAATGATAGGGACTCCCGAGGAAACTCCCCGGTCTCCGAGGAATTCCCCAAGACTACGCACGTTCCCTATGATTATCGCCCTCTGCTGATCCATTGGCCTACTGGCGAGACGATATACATTTCCCAAGGCTGAAAAACTTACCCAAAAATATGTTTTATTGAAACCGTGTACATCGCCACGGAAAGGCTTTTTTCAACGAACCGGCGAAGCTATATTTGCTTTCTAAACAAAATTTTTCCAGTTTTTAATTTTAATTGCCATAGTTAAATAAATAGAAAACGATTAAATATATTAGTTTTTTATTAATATGCCGAGTTATTCGTATTCGTATCCGCCGAATAGTAGTTTTGATATACGTATTTGTAAAAGTACTGTTTGTTGCATCACAAGTTATAACAGTTCTAAAATTAAAAAATTAAATTTGTTTATATTAACGGTTATGATATGTTATAAAGAGTGATGATTTAAAGTTTCTATTTTTTAACAAAAATAAAAATGCATCTGTCAACCCATGTTAACTTCATCTAGAGGCTAGATGCCTTGTTTAATTTGTTTCCATTCCATCCTTAGATGTAGAACATGATACTGCTGCAGTAAATTTGTTTGATTTTAAATTGATTTTATTTATTATAATTATCTTTGGCAAGCAAAACATACAAAATATTCTTCTTTGCTCTACCATAAACAAGATTTTAAATTCGAAGCAGTGTGGAACTTTTTCGCTACTGCGCACAGAAAAAGGTTCGTATGGTGGAATAGGTCGAGTTATAAAAAGAAACGCGTCAAGGAGAACAAATTACAGAACAGAAAGTTCTTTGTAACTAGGCAAAATGTTATTTAAATCAATTCTATTTGAAATAATAACATTGTTACTTGACAGCTTAAACTTTGAAAAATGCGCGACAATTCCATTGTTTCATTCCTAAAAAAGACTATTTTAATAGTATTTAATTTAATTACGCTGGCATTTACTCACAATTTTTTATAACGGACGCGACAAAAATTGCCGATTAACGTGCAATTGCTCATAAATGTAATATTGTCGCATAGCAGTTATTTTTTTAGAGAACGCACTGCTGAAAAGTTTGATTGTTTATAAAGAATAAACAAGAGAATATTTAAATTTGTGTGAAGTTATCGCATCTAGAGGACTTAAAAAACTGCCCCTTGGTAACTTCAGGGTCCACTTCAGGATATGCTAACTTCATAATATTTTTATTGATGAGTAACATCTACGAACATGTTTTTAGAATCATCAACACAGCTAGTAAGGAATGCCCCATTGATACTCGTATATTTTTAGGTCGTATGAAATTCCAAAATTGGTCGAATCTCTTCAGGGATATGAAATAGTGGATGTCGCTTGTGGAGGTGCTCATTCGGCCGCAATCACAAGCTCTGGGCAATTGTATACTTGGGGAAAAGGAAGATACGGGCGTCTTGGACATGGAGACAGCGAAGATCAACTAAAACCAAAATTGGTAGAGGCCTTACTGGGAAACAGGGTAATTGATGTGGCCTGTGGGTCTGGTGATGCTCAAACGTTATGTATTACGGACGATGATAACGTGTGGTCGTGGGGCGATGGAGATTATGGTAAATTGGGTCGGGGTGGTTCGGATGGATGCAAAATTCCAATGAAAATTGAAAGTTTGGCCGGATTGGGTGTGATAAAGGTTGAATGCGGCTCTCAGTTTTCCGTTGCCCTCACTCGTTCTGGAAGCGTGTATACTTGGTATGTGTTTTATGAAAATGTTGTTTATGGCGGCTATTTTATGTGATTTTTCAGGGGCAAGGGAGATTATCACAGATTGGGCCATGGTAACGCCGATCACATAAGAAGGCCCAAAAAGGTGGCGGCTTTACAAGGGAAAAAAATAATAAGCATAGCTACCGGTTCCTTGCATTGTGTGGCTTGTTCGGATGAAGGGGAAGTTTACACCTGGGGCGATAATGACGAGGGACAACTTGGCGATGGAACCACTAATGCCATACATAGACCTAGACTGGTCTCTTCATTGCAAGTAAGGAATAAAACCTAACAGTAACTAACAATTATAAAACAAAACTTTTTTTGTATCCATAATGGAAAACAGCCATTAATTAGCTAGAATTCAATAAACACTCGTCAGCAACACAACCAAACACACAAATCTGACATTTAACAAAAAAAAATATTTAAAATTTTTATGTTCATAAATATTAAATGTACAATTAGATATATTTTGGAATAAAATTCCATTTGTACTTTTGGAAAATTCGTTTAATAAAACATCCATGATAGTTGAACTTGATGAGGATAAGTGCTACCAAGGCTCTTGGCCCAAGAATCATCCTTTGAAGCTTCCTGTTGATTGGAGCCTTTAAAAATTTTCTTCAATGTTTGAATTTTATTTTGAATGCTTTTTCCTATATGACTCTCAGATGAAGATGTTGAAGACCACCCCTCAGTCTTTTCAACATGGTAACTGCACTCCTTCGCATACGATGCCCTGTGTAGCTATTGGAATCAGGAAGCTTTAAATATTCAGCATTTTTTTCTCGGCAAACTATAAAATATGTTGATCCCATCAAAAATCTGGAATGATTCGTGTTTTGTGGCCTTAATTTACGATACTTCCGATACAACTCAATTCCGTGTATTACGTAGTGTTACGATAATAACTGATTCATTCTCTTCTATATCGTTAATTGTTAGTGTTCGTAATTCTTCCCCTCGCATTGCTTCATTTAAAGCAAAAATCCTAGAGCAAAAATTAATGCCACTTTCATACGATTCATTCGAAGCGTCATTTAGAAACTTCATAATTTGTTTTGAATTGACAACACTTTTGACTTTTTAGGTTCATATCCTTCATTCTGTTTTTTCAAAAATGCAATTATTTGCTTGTATTTTGAAATGTCACTGCCTTCATACAGTGCTTGCAAATCCAAGTCCGACCGGGTTGGGAAGGACGGTTGTTCAATACCCGCGTGAAAAGAACAAGGATAGAACGCCAAACAAAAATTCGTTGGTCAGAGCCGGCAGGCTACCACCACCTGTTTGGCGTTCTATCATTGTTATTTTCACGCGGGTATTGAACAACCGTCTTTCCCAACCCGGTCGGACTTGGATTTGCAAGCACTGTATATTTGCAACGTACTCTTCAGCATTGAATATGTTGACCACAGTGAGGATGCCTTCAGATTTTTGGACTAAAAATAAAAGAAAAAAATAGAAAATTTATTTTCTAAAAGCATTAGCTTCTTACTAGGGCTGTATAATTTAGCCGGTTAAGCCGGCTAAAAAAGTTACCTAAGTTAATTAGCTATCTAACTGATCAGCTTAGCTAATTTAACATGTTAACTGAACTAGCTTAGCTAATTAGCTGGCGGCTTAACTGGTTAATCTAGCTTAGCTCAGCTAATTAGCTAACGGCTAACCGGCAAATTAGCTGAGCTAAGCCAGATTAACCGGTTAAGACACCAGCTAATTATCCAAGCTAATTTAGTTAACCAGTTAAATTAGCTTAGCTGATCAGTTAGCTAGCTAATTAACTTAGCTAACTTTTTTAGTCGGCGAAACCGGCTAAATTGTACAGCCCTACTTCTTACCTTTCTAAAAAAACGCTAGCATAAAATTTTCACTGACACCTTGTACCCAAAGATAATGGGGTGTATAATAATTATCTTTGCTTGTACCCCTTGATTGTTTCTCCATTGACAGAATTGTTCAAAAGTTTTACTATATTTTTGATATAGGGAAGTAGATTTTGAGTCGCTTCTCTCGCGGCTTACAAAATACCCTAATTTTCTTCAAAAACACTCATCTTCCGACAAAATTCTGTTTTTATTTAATTTGTTGTCATGCGTTGCTACGGTTTACTTTTCATAAGCAACTATGTTAAAGATAGTAAAAAAACAATTTTTGTTAAAAGTTTTACACTTTTTCCGTTAAGGATGCAAACAAATGTTAAACTCGTAAGAAAAGTTCGTTTTCCAGCTCGTGAAAATTGGTTTCACTCGCCAAGGTTCGTGAAACCAACCTTTTTCACTCACTGGAAACTTTTCTTTTTCACTCACTGGAAACTTTTCTTTACTTGTAAAACAATCTACTATTATTTCAGAGCAAAAAAATAAGTAACGTTGCTTGCGGATCGGCACATACTCTTGCATGGTCCACCAGTAACGCAGGATCTCCGTGCGCACGCCTACCAACCATATCTCCAATTGAATACGACCTCCTCCAAGACATACCTTCCTTGGTGTTACATCAAAGATTGGTTCTGTTGCATCATTTCGCCGAACTAATATGCCCGTGCATAACGATGTTCCCAATTACTGGAAGAGACTCTCTTCACGAGCTCCGAAGCATACTTGTTTACACAATAAAAGAGGCAACGTTTAGGAAAGTTGTGCAAGCCACAATGGTGAGAGATAAGCATCACGGGCCAATAGTTGAACTGAACCGAATTCAAGTGAAACGGTCGAGATCTCGAGGCGGTTTAGCCGGAGTCGACGGCATGAAATCCGTCTTTGGACAGATGGTGACCAAGTTGCCTTTGCTTACCTCGGAAACGTTGGCTCTGCCGCACCGGATCTGGAAGGTGGAGTTTGTGGGCGAAAGCGTGGACGATTGCGGCGGCGGATACAGCGAAAGCATAGCGGAAATGTGCGACGAATTGCAAAACGGATCTTTGCCTTTGTTGATTCCCACGCCGAACGGAAGAGACGAGGCCGGTGCTAATAGAGACTGCTTCATACTAAACCCCTCTTCCAAAACGTGTTTGCACTTGAACATGTTCCGGTTCCTTGGCGTTTTGATGGGGATCGCGATAAGAACTGGTTCGCCACTAAGTCTGAACCTTGCGGAACCCGTTTGGAAGCAGCTCGCTGGAATCGAATTGACGCCTGCGGATTTAACTGAAATCGATAGGGACTATGTTCCGGGATTGTTATGTATCAGGGACATGGGAGCAGAGGAACCGTTGTTCCAGAATTTGGAGATGCCATTTTCCACACCATCATCATGTGGACAGGATGTACCATTAAGCACTAAATACAAAAGAATTACCTATGAAAACCGGCTGGAATATGTTAAATTAGCTTTGAGTTTTAGGTAAGCGTTTTGTTATGTTTTTTTAAGTGAAACTTCTTTGCGGACGAGCTAAACCAAAAGTTGGCGTTACGAAACATGAAACGGAAACAGCGCTTACGTCGTATTAGAGTAATTGAGCAAATTCGCACAGTACAATTATTTAAAAAAATGGTAGGACAAATTTGCACATTAGCTCAGAATTAAAAAATAGTAGGACAAATTCGCACAGTAGTTTAAAATTAAAACATGGTGGGACATATTTCAGAATATGTATTGTTTTCAAAAACTTTAAAATATAAAAATTTACATTATGGAAAATTACATAATTTTAACAAACTTAAAAACAACTTCAAAGCTTTAAAAAATTTATATTATTATAGGGTCTTTCCATCTCGAATCGACCAGGCAAAAGGGTGGGTCGTCATTTTTTAACGAAATTTTTTTACAGTTTCTCTACCGAAATCGATGAGACCCGAATTTTTTTCTTTTTGCTTAAATTTGTTTTGTTCACCCATAGGAAATTTTTGAAAAATGGGCAGAAACATGGATTTTTACGAGTGACATTTTTTCTTAAAAATACGATAACTTGGCCAAAACTGTTTCGATCGTTACAATTTTTTTTTAAACAATTACGACGCTGGGTCACTGCATGCGATTAGTCTAGTAAGGGGCCGAATAAACAAGTGGCTTGTAATTAATTGTCTTGTCGTTTAATCCCATATTCATAAATTCAATGTGGTACATTTTGTCCGCTAGGTATCATATACCATCAGGGCATCTAATTTTTCCGAAAAAATCGAAGAAACACGTTGCTAAGTAATATTTTAACAATAAGCATGAGTGCTGGTGGCAACAAAATTCCGAGTCGAAGACGAGGATTTTTGTACTTGCACGAATGCATTTTGTTAAAAAATATTACTTAGCATTGTGTTTATTCGATTTTTTTCACAGGAAAAATTAGATGCCGGAATGGTATTTAACAAGACTATTTCTTGAGTAACAGTTATTCTGCATATACATAACTTACAAAACATACTACCTACCTATTATACATGCATACATAACAAATATGTAGGTATTAATTTGAAAACTGAAAAAAAGGTAATTTATTTATTATCACAAAATACTACAAACTTAATTATTTATGGTACCATTAAAATATAAATTGAAATATTTCTGTGGTGCTGTCAGTCAGTTTTTCCACCTAGAAACCAATATTCAAAATTGCGAGATTGTGATTGGTGGAAATTAAGACGAGGGAAATAGTCGGCGTGAAGCGACCCTGAATTCTCGTGCGATATTTGATGCCTGGCGTGCAGTTATTTATTTCCTATCTACGGTTCTCTCGTTCCCATAGCATATTTTTCGGGGGACTTTATACCACACTATTCATTTGTTTCTACTTTAGAATTAAATGTGACAAACGCTTATGTAACTGATGAAAATTTCATTAATAAACCTTAACAATAATACTTATAACAATATTGCTTATCGATTAAATAAAAACAAAACTCGAATGTTATTACATTTTTCAAGTTAAAGTTTCAATTCAGCGCACATGTATTTTTTATTTTGTTGTTTAATTACTTTAGACTTTCCGAATTCGATGAACAAGTTAAAGCTGTCAGAGATGGGATGTCCAGAGTCGTTCCAGTGCCCTTGTTGTCGCTGTTTAGCGGCTACGAATTGGAAACCATGGTTTGCGGTTCACCAGATATTCCCTTAACGCTTCTTAAGTCGGTGGCTACGTACAAAGGTACATAATTTTATCAAGGAGCCATTTACTGTGAGCACCGTGCAGTTTACAAATTTATTTTAATATGCCAATTTTTTTAGGTGTTGACAGCAGCGCTTCCTTAATTCAGTGGTTCTGGGAGGTCATGGAGGAGTTCACCAATCAGGAAAGGTCTTTGTTTTTACGGTTCGTATGGGGCCGAACGAGACTACCAAGAACTATAGCGGACTTTAGGGGGAGAGATTTTGTCATCCAAATATTGGACAAATATAATCCACCTGATCACTTCTTACCAGAAAGTTACACTTGCTTCTTTTTGCTTAAAATGCCTCGATATTCTTGCAAAGTAAGTTTTACAATTTAATTAAATACCCCATCCATTTCATTTAATAGGATATACGAATATATACCTACATACTAGGCTTATTCATAAAAATATTTTTTTTTAATTAGCTGACCTAAATCATAAAGTTCATAAAATTTCACTAAAAGAAAATTTTGCGTGTGCTATCGCAAAAATAATAAGAAAACTTTATATGGACAAGCCTATATACTTTAAAGCTTTCTTTTTAAAATACAGGCTGCGATTAAAACAAATTATATTTTTTTCTTGAAAATTAAACATGATAGTGAAAAAATGCTGGAGACAAAAAAATTTTCTATTTTTAATACTTAAGGAGGTTCGGGCAGTACATTGCGAGGAAAGGGCTAAGGGGAATGCATAAATAGCGATAGGTACAAACTTTTAAAAACAAAATTTGTTTTGTCATTTTATTACATATGATTTAAAAAATAGCCAATTTTTTAACTGATTTTTAATGATTTTAATACAAAGGACACATGTGAATTAAAAAAAGTAAACAATAGGATTTAAACGCGACAACATTGCGAGTTGTTATAGTTGGTTTCTATAGTAACGCTTTTCGCTTTTAAGTGTTATTAAAAATCTTAAAATGGATCAAAAAATAAAACAACAGAAAACATGCAGTAGGTATGTTGAATGCAGCGAAAGTCTCAAGAGAAGAGCAGAAAACAAAGTTAAACCATAGAAGCTAGAAGCATTATCAAATTATTAAAAAAAAAAAACTTAATAATAATAATAATAATAATAAATAGGTAACATCTTCTAAATACGAGTAAAAAAAATCCATCATTTTTCAATCTCACGTTAAAATATATGCATTAATTAAAAGATGTGCTGTATATAAGATTTATTTAATTAACGCATATCTTATAAGATGGCAATAAGAAATGGCATATTAATTGTTTTTAACATTCACAACACAGTTTGGCAATAATAAACAACGACAACATGCCGTGTAGTCCTAGCAACTTTAATGATTTTTTAATCAGAAACCAGACGGTAATTCTTTCTGAAACTTTGTAAATGTCTTTTAGGTAACCTTTATTACAACCTACAATTTTTTTAACAGTTTCTCTTAGCGACTAATATCTTCCCGAACCTCCTTAATCTAAAAATAATATTAAATTTATAAAAAAGCAGTAGCGCACCCAAATTTTATTTTTAAATATCTAGTTGGGATGTCCCAGCGCCGCCTCCTTAATAACTAATTGAATTGAATTAAGCCTTTTTTTGAAATAACATTTTTTTAATAACTGTACCACCCTCTATCTCGAAAACATCCGAGTTCATTTGAACTTTTCTTATTTTGGCGATTTCTATCGACTACTAAATTTTCCCGATTAAAATCTGAGAAGTGTATAATTTTAACTAGACTATTTTTCCAAGTTTAATACATTTATTTTCTTTAGCACGTTCTGCAACAAAAGTTAAAATACGCTATTCACTTCTGCAAGTCGATAGATAAGGATGAGTATGCCCGTGTTGCCATGGCGGGCGATTTGGCAGTCAGTTCCAGTTCAGATGCAGAAAGCGACCCAGAGATGGACAGCAGCAATTAATTTCATTCCCGTCCATTTTTTTCTTGTTAATTCAATGTCTTGAATTATAATGACAATGTAGGTCATCCTCTGTAGTAAAAATATTCATCAATTTTTTAAATTTCGAATATATCATTTTGCGCAAGATTTTTTATTTATATAAAGTTTGATATATAAAAATTGATTAAACATATTTTGGATACATACTACATTCCTTAATATACTGTCAATTGAAATATTACCTGTTAAATGTAACAAACTTATATATGAAAACATTAATACTCATACCATCATGTTTACTACTATTATTATGCTTCTCATTTTAGGAATTAGATATCGTAATTACATTGACGATATCCTTAATACATTTTATGTATTAATTCAGCATTTAGTTTTCAATTTTATGTGATAAATGCTGCTGTACAAAAAGCTAGTGCACACTGGATTTAACAATTATTCTCTTTAACCTATTGAATTTCGTTATTTAATGGGGTTAAGTTGTATTTTACAAAAGTATTTTGTTAAAGTATACTTTATATTTTTCATTGTATCTAGTCATATATTTATTACAATAAATGGAATTACATTTACTTATATGATATTTTATTGTATACATTCACTACACACCTAGGGTTCCCAAGCAGAATTTTTGGTTACAAAAACCATTGCCAAAGTGGTGATAACTTTAAATTAGTTAAGTATACTAAACAGCTACTTTAATTTTTACTTAAAAGTAATTCTAACTTTTAAATAGCAATATTTTGTAACAGAAACTTAATTTTTCCTTAAATGGTTACTATAAAGTAATAAACATTTAAGTAAAACTTGGTTGCCCCCAAGAAGACTTTCTAACTTTAAAAAAGGTGTTATAAGTAAAAAAAACTTTCAAGTAAATTTAATTTGTAGCAGTTACTTTCAGTTGCTACCTAAAGATTACATTATAATTATTTTTACTTTGTAGTCCCTTTTCAAGTTAAAATCTCGAAACTGGAACATGAGCTCACTAACTAGTTAAGGCGCATTCATGCTCACTAAAATAAGAATAAGAAATAAGATAAACAGTTAAAACTGTGTAAAGTAATGGTTGCGTTCATGCTCATGAAAATAAGAAATAAGAATAAAGATTAACTATTTTTAACATTGGTTCTTATTCTTGCGTATAAAACTGCGCAAAGGACCAAAATGGGTCTGTGAATTATTTTGATGGGTTGTATGTGCTGGCAATGGAGCCATGGTGTTGGAAATCGCGTTGAGTGTCGCTGTCGATTGTTTACGTTTATAGCCAATATAATCCACTATAATAAAATATAATTGTGTGACAACATTTTTTATTTCTTATGTTAGCATGATCTTATTTCTTATTCCTTATTTTAAGTGAGCATGAATACGCCTTTAAAAACTACAAAGTTAATAACTTAAAAGTTATTATTTTAGTTTTGGAACGTTTATGGTACTAACCCAACTATTATTTGGTACTATGGTACTAACCCAACTATTATTTTGATTTCTGGCAACCCTACTCATTAATTATGAGTCATAATATTATTTATCATTTTACCTAGGTATACCTAGCTATAGAAGTTGAGTTTAATTATAATATATATATATATATATATAATATAATATTATTGAAGTCTTTTTTAATTTTGATTTAACAAAATTTGTTTAGTAGCTCAATACAGGGTGTTTCATAATATATGCGCAGGACTTCAGGATGTGATAGCTCATCCAAAAAGATGAAAAAAGTCGCTATTAACTTACCCTCTAAAATGCACAATTTTCGAGATACAGGGTGTTGAAATTTTAGAAAAAAAATCGTTTTTTTCGATTATCTCTGGAACCGTTTATCGTACAAAAAACAGCTTTTGTAAGCATTTTCTACTCATAATAAGCTATGTTTTGTGCCAGAAAAAATTTTTTTTTACTCATAATTGGTGGAGATTTTGAAGGGGTAGCGGGTGTTTTTCTCCTCAACTTCAACGCCCCTGAAAAAAGTACGGTTTTGAGAGGCCCATTCGAACCGCCAATGTTTTCTACAGAAAAAAGGTACTCCTGGTCATAAGCTCTAAAGTTGACCGTTTTCGAGAAAAATCAACTTTTATGTTTAAAAACATGGTCAATTTTTTGAAAAAAATTTTTTATTACTAATTAAACAAAATTTATTTTAACGTTAGAAAAAGTAACAAAACCAAACGATAATTGCAAAATTAAAAAAAAAATAAAAAATGATTTTTTACTCAAATGCTGAAATGTGCGAAATGCGTTACCTTTACGGTTTGGAGAATTAAGCAAAGACAACTTTTAAATCATTTTTTATTTTGCAATTATGGTTTGGTTTTGTTACTTGTCCTAACGTTAAAATAAATTTTGTTTAATTAGTAAAAAAAAACTATTTTTTTTTAAATTGACCATGTTTTTAAACATAAAAGTTGAATTTTCTCGAAAACGGTCAACTTTAGAGCTTAAGCTCTAAAGTTGACCGTTTTCGAGAAAAATCAACTACATAATTATGACCAGGAGTACCTTTTTTGTGTAGAAAACATTGGCGGTTCGAATGGGCCTCTCAAAACCGTACTTTTTTCAGGGGCGTAGAAGTTGAGGAGAAAATCACCCGCTACCCCTTCAAAATCTCCACCAATTTTGAGGAAAAAAAATTTTTTTTCTAGCACAAAACATAGCTTATTTTGAGTAGAAAATGCTTACAAAAGCTGTTTTTTGTACGATAAACGGTTCCGGAGATATTCGAAAAAAACGAATTTTTTTCTAAAATTTCAACACCCTGTATCTCGAAAATTGTGCATTTTAGAGCGTAACTTAATAGCGACTTTTTTCATCTTTTTGGATGAGCTATCACATCCTGAAGTCCTGCGCATATATTATGAAACACCCTGTATAATATATTATATTGATCTTTACAGCATTTTTACATGGTTGCTATGATTTTTACCAAAATAATTAGAAATTGCAAGACATGTTTTGATTGTTTCTAGCTGTTTAAAAAAACTCACATGTTGTCTATCCCATAGATAATAAATAATATAGATACGCCACTGTCACATATTTGACGCTCCTTGTTACGCACACTAGGTCCGCTATGTCGCTAGTTGTACCCGCCTGACATTTATAGGTTTTAGGTTATGGTTTTAATTTAGGTTATCCTGTCAAATTTTGACAGTCAAAATAGTAGAAAATAAAATTACTGAGAGTTTATTTAAATTGTTTATTTGGAAAGCAAAAATAAATGTATTACATTTTAAAATAATCAAGGTATTTACTAAACTAACTAATTAACAATATAATGTACATGTATTCTAGTGAATTTTAGCTTATTAAAGAATTTGTTGTCAAGAACAAAAATCAGTATAAGGTATTACGTAAATATTTCCCAATGCTTGTCCTAATTGTGTATATATTGAATAGGTACTTAGGTTAGATTAAAGAATCAAGAATATTTATATTTCATAAATTTTAGCTATTCGAAGAGGTTTTTGTTGTCCAGAAACCAAATCTGCACAGCAATAGTAACCTATATTTAAATATACAAATTACAAAATAAAATAATATTGTATACATTGTATTTATAAATAAGACAAAGATATTTGTTCGTAATTACCTTTAAAGGTCTAAAGTAAAAGTGATAAATACCTTATCGAAGGAGGGTTTGGGTATAAAAATAAAAGACACTTCTTTGATAAGTTAATCACTGTTATTTTACCTATATTTAGTTTTGTGACATTCATTTGGAATTTTGACAACAATATAATAAATTAAAAATCACCTGAAGACAGTGCACAAACAAATTTTGGTAGTAGAGGAAAAGTAAATACAGTAAATAATAGCAATCATTAGTTTGCATACAAGCAGAAAACAATAAAAAAATTGTCCTTTACTACTTAAATTGGATAACATCAAATATTATACAGCATTTCAGCGTTGTAGAGAACAGTATGTAAATCGTTAACGAATGTGCAGTTTTTTTGGGATGAATAAACGCTTTTTATTTATATTTATTCTTACTAATAAAAACAAGATTGTAATGCACAAATTTATACTTGGCAAATTATTCATATTAAATTTATATTAATATAATTACAACTTAAAAAAAGTAACAAAGAACATTTCTAAAATTTAAGGCCCCATGCAAATAATGGTTTATAATGTGGACACATTTGTGTATTTATTATTTTTTAAAAATTTAAACTTCATAGCTACAATAATTATTATAACCATACAAAGGAGGTTGACACATGATTGTTCTAAAAGCGTTGAGTGAAAAGTCACTCTCAATTAAAATGGCGTTGGTGCAACATTTTTGGTAGGTATAAAGGATTTCCTAGAAGTCGCGCACCACCTTGAAGATGTATAATCTACGGACCCCCAGGAATCCCAGAAAATTGTTTAGTTCGTTATTTAAAAAGATAAAGGGGATACATATTTGTTTAAATGACAACATTGAGTACAAATAATTGGTAGATTCATTTTTAATCATCATGAAAACCCTAAACCAAAATTGGTCTAGGATGAAAACTAACAACATTAAAAAGTTTTAAATTCCTTAGTTTTACAAGAGGTTATTTATTTTAACTTTAACTCTTTGACAGAAGCAAATAAAAACATAAAATAAATCTATAAAAAACTAAACAAACATTGAGAAACACAATCTAATAGTCCAAAAGCTCGGTAGGAACAATCATATACCTATAGTTATAGTTATAGGTATATGGGAACAATGCTATTAATTCTTAATGAAACCATTGTATATGATTAGACTTGAAACAATATAATCAAAGTAAATTTACCTATTATTTTTAAATTTAAAAACTCAATGTATACGCTCTGATATCTTTTTTTGAATGAAGTTAAATTTTTTTTAACAATTTTCTGAGATTGGGGGTCTGTAGATCATCCACCTTTAAGGTTGTGGCGACACCTTGTAGGTTGGCACCACATATCACGTTGTAAAAAAAATTAACACAACATTTTGAGTCGGCGAAATTTTTCTTTTTTACATTTTAATTTTTTGAACTTTATAAAAGCAATTTGTTTTACCACATCATTTATGTTCTGGGTGTTAATACCCTTTAAAATGTTATTTACATTTTTGACCCATGTAAATATATACATTAGGGTAAATAAATTAATAAAAATTGAATAAACATTGTGTAGTGGGCAGATGTCCTTATAAACATTGGGGATTAAATTTATTATTGTTTTTGATACATTATTTTTAACATTAGGGTCACAAGCTAATTTTGGTAAAAAACAATGTGTCACCTGAACACATTGAGAAAATAATTTTGTAAAGTGGGTTCTGGGTTTTAGTAATGCGTTACTATGAAACTCCCGTTCTCTTATGAGAAAGTTCGTTATTTCTTTATTTTCTGACACCAACAGACTTTTGCAAATACCACAATTGCCGATTTGTTTAAAAATTTTTTTGGCCATGTAACCTGCAATATATGCATTTGTCTGTAGTGCCAGAGTGGGAGATTCATTAAAATTAAATTTTGTTGTATTTAATACAGGCTCCACACTTTTCTCCACAATATTTTGGGGCAAATCTGCATCTAAAAACTCCAA